AAGGGATACAGCTGATTCGTTGCGAAATGGAATAAAAGCGGACATTTTTTATCACTGCATGATAGGGACCCAAGTGCGTGTTTTCATTGTTCATTATCGCCAGAAATTACGGCGAAACCCCTTCTATGTTCGCTGTGCACATTCATACATAATAATCTAAGAGAATCTAACGACGCAGGACAGAACATAATACATACATACTCAATTTATGAGGCACCAATCGTGTACAACAACTCAAAACACTTAATCTACGTTTCTGGAAATAATCGTTAAAATATTAATGAGCATTTATCAAAGAATGTGATTGAAAATGAGATCATATTGCAGAGCAAAACAAACGAAAACGACAATGAGATATGAAATCGTGGCCCCTCTGGCGTAAGGGCGTACCTCGATTTCCGCATGAGCCCCAAATAGCATGCATTTGTATGTAAAACACGGCTCAAGTGGAAGTTGAGATACGTCCTTATTACGCCAGGACATTAGCGGATCCAGCAAATTGGCAACATTGTTTTTCTCCCATTTAAACTCATGGAAATTAATGTATCGATTCTTGAAGGGGCCAGGTGCTCCGACAAGAATCGATTATTTTATATAGGTTTAAATGGAGGAAATCGCCGGTGTTGCCAAATTGCTGGATCCACCTTTGCGGCAGAGGAGCGACGAAATGAGAGACTGGTCATCGTTTGGATAAGGTTTAAGTTCACGGATACCCCACGCATTTGTAGATTCTGTTTAAAATTACAATTTGTATACAATTCTTCAGAGAGCTGCTTTCGGATTTTTCGTTGGTTGATTTAATGGATACAAGAATACAATGGTGCCGTGCTAAGAAAAAACGCCGTATGAACATTCGAGTGTTGCCAAATATCCTCCGATAAAACGTTTATTTTTGAGGAAAGTTATCAATATTTTTCCTTGAAATTTTTAGATTATTTGAATCAAATTACGAACGAAATATCCTGAAAAATTGGAGGAAAAATGTTTATAAATATTCCCAAAAATTCGTGTTTCATCAATGGAAAATTGGCGACGCCTAAAGACTCATACGGCGTTTTTCCTTAGTACGGCAGAATGGTAACAGATAATTAATTGGACTGAAATGGAGAGCAATGAGGAGTAAATAAACGAGGAAAAGTAGGAAATATTTTTTCTTCTTTTTTTGAATGGCATCAAGTGTTTAAAGCATTCAATAATACTTGAATTAATCCAGGCGTAAAGATCGAAATTTTAACGATAGATATTTGACTTTAAAATCGATTCAATCGAAAAAAAAGGAGAGTTAAGAATGTGAGAGAAAAACCAATCGTTCTTTTCAAAATTACCTCGTGTAAGTACTTAATTCTTGGGACGAGAAACTTCGCACACATATGATGCTCGAATTTTTTTTTTGATTTTTCCTGTATACTCAATAGCCATTTTGTAAAAATGTAAAGCCACAATGTTGATTGATCTCCTGAGAAAATATAGGATCTGCAAGCGAAAATTTTGCAACGATGCAATACGTGATTCTGCAGTTCGGTCATCAATATGTAGGTTTTACGCAGGATAAAGAAAAACTGTGGGCCGGCAATGCGACCGAAAAAATCTTGGGTATAACTGCACAACTACGAGAAAAAAGTATGTCTACGAAACCGAGAGTTTTGATTCTAATTTAAGCCGGATTTCTCGATCACTTCGATCAGAAATTCTGGTTGGGTCAACTGAACCTAGCCGAATTGACTGAAAAATCCAGCTCTGCGATTAATCAAACATTTAGAGGCCCTGAAACCAATCTGATGTTTTTTTTAATTTTTCCAGTGCGAGCACCAAAAACTTAGTTCCCTTCCATACGAATGTGCGAGACAACTAAAAAGGTCAATGTTGTGCCCAACGAATTTCGTTGGGCAAGTAATTACGCAAACGTGAACGAATGGTATGAATGGTATGAATGGTACGAATGGTATGAATGGTATGAATGGTATTCGTTGAACGAATGGTATGAATGAGAGTGAGTGAACGAGAGTCAACGAATTTTCCTAATCCATATGAACGGAAAATTTAAGACTCGAGGTGACTAATGACTAAAAGTTAAGTTCGAATTCTGTTGATCGTCCGAAATGAGTCGGGGTGCTCTCCAGAGCACCGTCGAAAAATTACTCATACCTAATCTGATATCAGAAGACTAGATCCACCTCCTCCTTCCAGTAGTCTGATCATTTACCTCGCTAGATACGGGCGATGGATACGGCGTATCCATCTATTGGAAAATTTGCAACGTTTTGCAATTTGGAACTATAAATTCTAGCACAGTTTAAAAACAACGTATATGTCATTGGTTTCCGAATGCACATAGGTGTTTTTCCAGAAGAGCCAGAATTTATAGTTCCAAATTGCAAAATGCAGTCCAATTGGTGTTCTATCGTTCGATAAGTTGCCGACCATTTACCTTGCATCTATCCCACTGGAAGACCTTTAGATGGATAAGTATCAATAGATACGGACCGCGGTGTTTCGCGATCGAACAGAAAATAACATTTTCTTTTCAACCGATCACAGCTCATCGTTCCATCTGTGAAGAAGAAGCGAAGCTTGTGTTGTGTGAACATAAGCTACAAATATTACACGTGGATTCGTGGATGTGCGCACGTGAATTGTTTGTCTTTTGTTTCGAAAGTTGAGTTTCAGTTTATGTTTTTTTGAAAATGAGTGCCGCGGATGCAGATAAAGCAATAAGAAAGAGGACCTCTGAGGCTCAGAGGTCCTACCTAATAGACTCCATGAACGGGCATTACATTTTTGCCAAAAGTGGTTTATGTCCTGGCAATCAGGGTAAAGAGGGTGCCAACCGAATAAGGGCAAAATTGGCGCAAGCCCTAAATGCCATAGGCCCAGCTGTAAGGACTTAACGAAACCGCCTCCACCAAACAATACTGTGGTTCCTGTTCCTAAAGAGGTCTCGCCGAATGTTACAACGCTATGAGCATGACGGAGAAGATCCAACATCGAAAATCAAAGGGGGATCGTCCCCAAAGAATCGGCAAGGTATGGTGGTTCTGTCGACTCTGGGAACGGGCCCCCCGACCCCCCATTATTGGCGCTGAAACTGTTGCTAAATGTTCAACACCAGCACCAACCTTAGATGTTCCTATTCGGATCATTCAGTCAAGAGAGAAGGACCAATATTTTTTTTTTAAAAAAAGGGGGAAAAAAGGGACTATCCGACCAAGTCTCTCATTTATACTGAGACGGAAACCTGGATCCCCAGACATTGAAATGAAATGTAGACAAATAACTGGATCCCTCATGTACCCCATGCTCGGCACTAGGCCTGAATTATGCAGTTGTATTTGTGTACTCAGTAGGCACCGATCTTGTGCGAGTGCTGATTTGCTACAGTGCTTATTTAAATGCCGTCAAATCGCCTCCTCTCAAAATGAGCTCTGAGTGTTTAAGGTGATTCGATGGACGCCATAATTTGTGTCAGAACGGCATGCGATATATCGCATCAGTTGGTTCCATTTTTTCAGCTACTCGTCATTTTTCTCCAATTTTGAGATCGCAATTCTGTTGTCAGAAGACTACAGCAATCACTTACCAATTTTAACAAATATAATAAAGGCGTGGTTTTTTCAGAGAGAAAACATCGCATTCGATACCGATATCGAAACTGCACTCGAATGCGATATTTTCTCTCTAAAAAAACCACGCCTTTATTATGTTGAATTTCTTTGTTAAAATTGGTAAGCGAGTGCTTTAGTCTCCTGACAACAGAATTGCGATCTCAAAATTGGAGAAAATTGACGAGTAGCTGAAAAAATGGAACCAATTGATGCGATATATCGCATGCCGTTCTGACACAAAATATGGCGTCCATCGAATCACCTTAACGCAAATTTTCTTTTCGCTCATCTTTTAATTTTTTTAAGCACAAAGGAAGGTATTGTTTTCACCAAGTCAAATACGAATAAAACAGAGATAACACTCTCGGCATACACTGATGCCGACTACACCGACGATTTAGAAACGAGGCGTAGAACATCAGTTAAACGAAAATCCTGTTAGTGGGCATCTCAAAGACAGCCCACAGTTGCCACATCATCAACAGAAAATGGATATATTACTTGGGCAGATTGTTTGAAAAATGTACTGTTTTTAAAGACTTTCGTTGAAGTATACACTTGTAGGTTACACAAGTAACGCGTACATACTGTGGAATGGGGAAGATGAGAAAATCGTAATATCGATTTTAAATGACACCTATTCTGTCTCTAGAGAGAGATTTGGGTTGTTTTAGAGCTTAATTTGTGTAATTTAGGATTGGTGGAGTCAGAGGGAGCTGATAAAAATGAAAGGAGACGGATGAGACAGTTGCGTTAAAGTTTGAAGTTGAGGCATTCAAGTAAACTAAATTTAAAATGACAACTTTTTCTTTCCTTGCAGTGTACGTTGAGCGAGCGGTTCTATTTAGGAGCGTTTCTAACGGTGCCCTAACTCGAAGGGAGGAGTTTCTGGGACTACAAGAGTCGCATCAGAAGTTTTTTTGGAACGCAATTTCAAGTCATTGAGTAGGAGCGTTTCTAACGGTGCCCTACAAGAGTCGCATCAGAAGTTTTTTTGGAACGCAATTTCAAGTCGGTGAGTAGGAGCGTTTCTAACGGTGCCCTAACTCGAAGGGAGGAGTTTCTGGGACTACAAGAGTCACATCAGAAGTTTTTTTGGAACGCAATTTCAAGTCGGTGAGTAGGAGCGTTTCTAACGGTGCCCTACAAGAGTCGCATCAGAAGTTTTTTTGGAACGCAATTTCAAGGCGGTGAGTTCTTAAACTTCTTGAAACCAATTCTACGTATGCATGTGTTAGAAAGGGCCCTGATCGGGCCGAGCGGTTTTGGGATAAAGTTCAAGTTTGACGCGAACTATGCTTACCCCTCTAAGGTTGAATCACTGTCCTTTGAACTGATTTTTACCATGCTTATTGATCATTTCGTGAAGAAAAAGAATAAATACACAGAAGCTATCAATTTTCGTAAAGTCTTCCAGAAAGATGGAGAAAAGGTTCATGAATTTGCGGCTCGTCTCAAAGCGGCAGCAAGATTTTGTAAATTCGATTATTTAAAATCCAAGCGAACTAAATTTAAAATGACATCTTTTTCTTTCCTTGCAGTGTACGTTGAGCGGTTATAACACTCAATTCCGGAGCGCTATTCAGGAGCGTTAATTCATCATTTTATCCTGATTAGAGGAGTTTATGAAATTTGTTGAAGCAATTTCGATTCGGTAAGTGTTTAAAGAAAGCTTTTTGTTGTCTTCGGAGTGCAAGTTGAGTGGTTTCATAAATTAACCCAAGTTCTTCAACCTTGGTGGAGTCAGAGGGACCACATTACCACGATTCCGGAACGTGGACGGACGGTATATCTACTTAGTCCGTTTGTACAGCTTTCCACGGTCGGAGATTGTTTTTCAATGTTCTCATTATCGTTTCTCGGCAGATGCCTGGATCACTACCCCTTAGGGGTACTCGTCATCCTGGATATCCCGTAGCGCTCCAGCATTGAGCAACCTGACGAGAAAAATATATGATCATTGAGCCCCTGGTCTTATTTTTTGCACCGTTAGACTCGAAAAGTCACCCTTATGTTTGATACCTTTCACTGATACACCATCTAGCTTGACGGAAGAATGTCAGAAATTATTTTAGAGGATGAATTCAGTTGGGCTGGATTCAGTGTGTGCGGGGTGCGGGTGGCTCCCCCTCCCCCCGGTCAGCCGTATGTGTCGCTTGTATTTCTCATGTCTGCATTTTGCCTTCAGTGTACTACTAAATTCTGTTATGCCTGAATATGGTTTGTAGTTTTGTGTTGCATTTTCTTGATATCTAAATTGTATTATTACGAATATTATGAATATTACGCCGGAATACGGCCGAATATTTACGTCCGGGTAACTGGGTGAATGAAGCACCTTCTAAGACAATGTATAGATGTTTCCTGAACGCTCTATTAAAGTTTAATCAGTTCCGTGCAACTTTATCAACTTAATACTGATTGTTGGTCCTGCTATCTTTTCAAAACCACGGTTTGTAGTTGAAACACGAGTGAGTTCTCTATTGACTTGGGAAATTCATTTATTAACTTTTTTTTATTTTGGCAGATGGTACTTCCACAAACGATTTGGGAAGTAATGAAAGAGGAAGTGAAATCCAAAAAGGTAGAAGAAATCGAAGTGGAATCACCATTGTTACAGGTAAGCGGAGATGTCATTACACAGCGATGATACTTCCCCATCCCATATCCTCAGCAGGAAATCAACAGATTATGTAGTATTGTTACTTCTGTTCCTGTCTCATTTTTTCATCTTCAAGTATTTAGTTTGCATTAGCTTAAGCAGTTACCTATGAGAATGTGATCGAAGCAATATTTTTTCAAAGAAAATTATTAAGTTAGGTACTGTAGAGTCAAATTTCGAACCGATTAAGTTACCTTAAAGTTAAATTTTGAATTTGCTGGACCTGCCCTTGAATACACGATTGTTAAATTTCTATTCTATTTATATTGGCAATAGTTTAGGGTATACCCTTTACGACAGGCTCACAGGAGATTCCGCACACAAGGTACCGTGTGCCTTGCGTCTTGAAAAGTTGTGGGTGGAATTCCCTAGTGACAAGTGGTAGTTGAGCTATTGCGTCGCTCGATCGGATAATGTTTCTCTCTTCCTGTATCTACCGACTTGTAAGGAACGCGTTGAATCCCTATTCTTGTAAAGAAAGGGGAATCGAGTTCTTTTTAAGAGAAATATTTCCAAGCATTTTCCCTCCTCATTTTGCCTATACACTACAAGCACTCAAGAATTTCTTGTTTTAGTTTTCCCTGCTAATAATGAAGTCTAAATCTTTGTGAGGGCTCAGTCTTTGACAAGATTTCAACGGTGGTTTAAGATTCTTCAGGAATTTAAAAATAGAATTGAAGGATACACACTGATCAAATTGTTTTTTTCACTTTTCAATTAGAAAATAGTCGGCACTTCTGAGAACGGGTGCTGCCTAATTAATAACAAGACCAAGCGAGCACAGAAAGTGAGCACCTTCCGAGATGCTCACTGGGAAGGCGAAGAAAAAAATCTGATCGAAGAATATTGGCAGAACCAGGAACACCTGAAAAAAGGGGAGGAATACGGACCCTTCTTCTACAAGGCAGATATAATGGAGACTATTTACACGACCAGTGAGACCGTAAGTAAAAAAATATTACTTCATAAACTTTACGCTTAATGTTAATGTAACAGGAGTAGGCCCACTTGCTAAAATCCATTTCGTTATTTTAACGTGTGGGTTGTGTTTGCAAGTTCCTAGAGGCTTCACAGTGAGTGGTACGTTTAGGTAATTGGTATTAACGATTCTTACGTTGTGAAATACTTGCGTTAGCGATTGGTGTGCAGTGTTGATTAATTTTCAATATTGATACGAAAATTTTAAAATAGTAAGTTTGAAAAACCATCGCAAATTAATCATTACTTGCCACTTAAAAATGGTGTCAAATTTTCAACTGTAATCGGTTCTTGCACTCATTCGTATAACTGTGTGTCGTCAGCGAACCTTTGTATGGATCACATGTGCTTTATTAGGAGTCACGATGTAAGGTAACCGTACCAGTAATTGGCACGTTAAGGATTTTTTAAACTTTGAAGGTCTACTTCTTTGGAAGTTTGAGACTTATTGTTGATGTGCAGGATTTTAGTTGAGGTGCATACACTCCTTTGTTTAAAAATGGTCCAAAGTAACAATTTCCGTGCTTTTATTAAATTTAATAATGATATTTATGGAAAATGAGAAACTAACCAGTAACTGGCACCCGAAAATTTGGATTTGCCAGTAATTGGCAGACCTTGCACTAGCAATTGGCGAAGCATTTATTTTATGTATTAATTTCAATGTGTAATTAATTTTGTTTTTTTGTTTTGTTTTTATTGTGCTTTTGTTTAATGTCTTTCATTTTATTCCTCTTAATCATTCAAAATTCAATTTATTAACCTTAAAACACCTTGCGCCAATCGTTGGAACTGGTCAAAAATTGAGTGCATCAGTAATTGGCAACCACTGCTTAACACCGGTGAAGCCTTTGTTTTCACAGTATGAATGTTGGGCTTTTTTATTATTTTTTTTTCTTAGTCATCCAGTTTTCCATTTGATAACTTCAGAACTCCTATCGCAATCATTGGAACAAAAATTGGCAACCATTGCCAAACACTGGTGAAGCCCGTGTTTTCACCGTACTAATGCTGGGCATTGCAATTGTCGCTTTAAAAATTAAGATTTCTAGCTTATTTTTAAATAGAATAAGCCAGCATAGAGTGTAGAATTCGCCAATACTTCGACTTTCATGATTCGTTCAAAATTAAAACTGCAAACCCTTAATGAAGGAGGTGCTTACCTTACGAATTTTTTTCAGTTCTTACCCTTTTTCAGTTGGTGCTGCCGAAATTTGTAACGGTTTACCGGTAGCTCTTTAGCTACCGGAAGTTGGCTGACCAACATGAAGCACAAATTCCAAAAATAGGTCCAGCATCTAGTGCTTCAATTCGTCGTCGCCGGCACGAAGGAACGTAACTCCACTCCAAGGTTGCCAAATTGACTCAAACAATTAACTTATGATACATAAATGCACGTAAGCAGTTTTCATCCAAAATAGAATTAGAGAAAAATGAGGGAAATTTTCAGTCAGAAATGCCCAAGATTCTCTTGATCAATAGGCAATTTGCGAGGGGAAATTTGGCAACATTGGAATGGAGTTACGTTCTTTCGTCCGGGAGACGACGAATTGTGCTGCTGTTCGGCCGATCTTCGGCTCCCAGTGTGTCATAAGTTTGGAGCTTGCCCCGATCGTGGTGTGTTTCTACCATAACGTCAATGTCCACCCCCGGGGGACGTTCAAGCTGCTTTCATTTTCGCATTCCCAACCAATCACCTATGCTTTACATCGGATTCTGACCTCCGTTTTCAACCTTCCCTCATCCCTGCTTGGGCCGTCAGCAGATTCCATTTGGACATCGGAACATCGGAGTCCCTCGCAAGGGTGCCCACCTATCATAACCTCATCATTTTCTTCTCTTGCTGCAGCCCTCCGCGACAGGATGCCGCCGGACGTATTTTAATTGGCGACCTTTCTTTGGACCCGTATTCTCCTTCCAACACGGACTCGTCCTTAAGGAAAGTTCTCTTGCCCGTTTTGAATTTTTGATGGTAGTGTTTTCAAACCAAGAGTTTGATGGTCTCATACAATGATCACTTGGGGTAAGCGTGGGATTAGCCAATGGGAGCTATTTAAAGCTTCTTATAAAAGTAAAAAAAAAAAAAAAAAAAAAAAAAAATTCATGTAAGGAATACCTTCAAGAAATTAGGTTCCTTACTTTTCCCCCTTTTTTCTCCCTTTTTTTTCTTTACAAAAGCTCGAGACGAAGTCTCGCGGTTCATATTACCTAGGTATATCTTTCCTTGCTGAAGGTTTGAACAATTTTTTTTTTTTTTTTGTCGCGAAAAGACTCTTCTAAACGATCAGATTGGTTTCATAATTATTTCAATTTGTAAAGACAAGGAGCACGGAGCCTCGTGAGACAAAGAAGAAAAATAAAACTTACACTTTTCAATCAGAGTTGAGCAGTTAAGAGTAGAAATCCTCATTGGAATCGAGGCATAGCATGTTGCAAACGTCACAAAATTGACATTATTTGGTGAATTTGTCGCATTGCAAGGCGTAGGTATACCGGATTGACCCTTCAGTGTAGGGTCTCTCGTTGAATGAACCGTTGCTCGATTAAGTAACAAGTAAACAAATATAACTGTAAAACCAGTGATGGATACTTTTTGGGAAGCTATAACTTACAGAATTCACACGTGTTTGCGTATATTTTACCTCACTTTTTGGGAGGAGAGACAAAGTACTTGTCTCAATTTTGCCCAATTTTAAATTGCTGGAGAGAAGTTCTCAAACCACCAATAGTTTAGAATTGAACCCAATTTTAATTTATTAAAATTAATTCAAAACTAACAACAACACAGTCCGATTAGATATGGAAGCCAACCAAGTAGTATCCACGAAAAAACCTTACTACGGCAAGCCAGCTAACCAAAAGGACCCCAAGGCTGTAGCAGTCCAACCGCCTGCAAAGCCAAAGAAGGTGCAGAAACCAAGGCCTGACTTACCAAAAACGCTCCCAGGACCTTCAGCTCTATCCGAGAAGCCGTCCCCAATGAAGACATCCAACCCAGCGGACGAAACATTGTTCAACAACGGCTTGTCCGTTCGTGAAGTCCAGAGCCACGCCACCTTCTCACCGACCCTGACCCCGGCCGTAGAGATAGCTCGCGATTCATTCGCTGAGATCATCAATTCATCATTGACAACGCCCAACTTGGAAAAGTGCTCCTCCCGGAGTACTACGATTATTACTCAACAAGTATGCTATGGCTTAGAGCACTCCACCTAAAGCTAAAGAACAGTCAGCGGTTAACAAACTCTGAGCACGATTTAATTCAGACGGTGCAGTTCATCAGTTTCAACTTGCCCGAACCCCTGTTTCTATATTGTAGATCACTCGGAAACATTGAGACCATCACTAAATCTCACTTGTAAAAAAACCTTGTCTCACCTTAAAAAAAAGAAAGGATTGATGCTAGATCCAGCTGTCATTGAGGCGAACGTCTCGGATCGGAAAACGGGTTCGAGAAGGAGTGAGCGATCACGAAAACTGATTTTGGTGTCCGGATGGATGCTCTAAAGTGGCGAAAATTTTGACCAGAGGACGCTTCAAAAAAGCTCATCTTTCGAATAAAAATAAATGAAATCCGTTTCAGATTCATATTTTCTCGATATATCATGATTTTGCATTGGATGCAAGCGGTATATTTCAACGAATAAACAAACATGTTCAAGTTGTTTTGGCATTATTGTGCACCACGTAAGCGAGCGTAAAAAGTATAAACACAGGGAGGGGTTTTACAGCCAATAAAAAGGGTTTCCAATTAAACTTTTTTTCTCTCTCTCTCTTTTTCAAAATTATTGAAAATAGCGAATAAATTAAGCGGTAATGAAAAATAAGTTCTTCCAAAAGTGAATTTGACTTAATCCGAGCGCGTGCGGAGCCGCCTTCGTTCTTGATACAACTATTGTGACTCCCACGTAACGCACGGTAGTATTTCGCTCAGTTGAAGGCGTTTTAGAAGATGATAGGCCCTCCGCAATTAGATACGATTATATTCTGAAGAAACTAGTATAGACTAATGAAAATACAGTACCGAAGGGATAGATTTGTCATAGCAGTTGCTCCTTCCAGAGAATGAAAATAAGCCAGAGGAATTAAATATTTCGCAAGAGAATTACGTACTTAAACGGTTTACGCAGAAAAATTCGGATGATTAAATCGAACTGAAATTGTATGACTGTGTCGTCTATAGTCACGCAAAGAAATTTGTTGTAAGGAATAAGATCACTTACACTCTTCGATCATACATGCCAAAAAACAGGGTGTAGAAGTAACTTAGCTGTCTGTACCTCAGTAGGTATGCATAGTAAGTACCTAGACGGATATTGTGCTTGGAATAGTAAAATCCAGACTTGAACCTTTCTTCAATACTCTAATTTAAGAGAAGGCAATTAAAGTAGGTAGTATGGCTTGAAAAGGCACTTTTAAAAATCTCATGAAAAAAGTTAAAAAAGTATTTTTTAGAAAACCCTCTTGGTTTAATTTCTAAGTAAAGTTTAGGTCTGATAATAGAGTAGTAAAAAAGGCTGTACAAAAAAAAATTACGATCTACTTTACTATGCGTTTTTTACTTTTTCGCTCCCCTGGTGTCATACTTTTTTCGAACATTTTCGGTGATAAAAAATCAAAGTACCTGAGTCTCATAAGTTAGTTAGGACCATTTTCTGCGTAAATATTACTTACTTAAAAATTACTCAAATGGGTTCCCTAAAATGTGACAGGTTTACTGAAAGTTGTATTTTTCTAAATTACGTAATTTTGAAAACTTATTTCACCCGTTGTTGCCATTAAAGAGGATCAAATTCGAGGAACTGTGCCAGCGGAACTGAATTCCAACCGGTCTCTCCAATTTTACTCTATCCTGGGCCCAGCCTGACGCAATGCAAGCGACTCGTTCACCAAATTGATCCATTGTCCCTGCAAAGGGACGAGACGGAGGGGGGGAGGGGTCTGGAGACCCCTCCGCAGTCCGTATAAATTACTGAGTTTTATGAATAGAAGTAAGCAATGAGGGGAGGGCTCACTCCTCTTGGCGCCGCAAGTCGCGGCATTAGAATTCCTTTATCTGCGTCCAACCTGCAAAACACTTGTGCAGGTGAATACAGCGGAATCTCCGCCGTAACAACAGGAATGCAAAATTCGTCGTACTTACAGGAATGCAGACTCTCCGCTCGCAGGAATGCGTCGCTCCTGCACAGCGCGAGGTATATCCATGTTTTCGAAGATCACATGACACTGAACTTGTGGCTACCTGAGGATGAACGTGACTTGAACTTAAAACAGTGTGAGACGGCAAGGGCTAAGCTTTCCGTCGCAAAAATGTGGACGGCAAAATTTGGACAGGGGTTCGAATCACCGGGATCATAGACGTGGGGTATCCGTGATAGAGAATTTTTCGCGGGGCTCCCGCGATACTATTAACAGAAGGACGAATAAACGAGACTATTTACACGAAATCTACATTAACAGAGACTTAAAATTGAGCGTTTTAATATCACATTTGCCTAGAACCTACGCGACGTCGAGGAGCAGGTGTCACCTCTTGGTTAGCATGTTGCCAAGGAGCGGTCGCTTGTCGTCGTGGAGACCGATGTTGAGGTGCTTGAGCTGCTGCAGCTGCATGATCTTCTCGAGGCCGAGCGTGGAGATCTTGGGAAGCCCGTAGAGGTCGATGTACTGGAGGTTCTTGAAGGACTCGGCGATCATGGCCAGGCTCTTGTCCGTGATCCGGCTGCACTGGCCGATGTTGAGCGTGTCCACGTCGTGGAGGGTCCTCGTGATCTTGTACACGCCGTCGTCGGAGATCTGACACGTGGAGAGCGACAGGGACCGCAGGTTGAAGAGCCCCTGCGAGATGTGGCTCAGGGCCTGGTCGCCGATCTTGTCGCAGAAGGAGACGTCGAGGGCGGCGATCCGGGACCCGCCCTCGGCCAGGTACGACATCCCCGCGTCGGAGATGTTGTCGCACGAACGGAGGTTCAGCTCCCGCAGAGAAGGCATCCGTGCCAGGTACTTGAGCCCACTGTCGGTGATGCTCACGCAAAAACTGAGGTTGATACTGGCCAGTTTGGAGTTTCCCGCCAGGAGGTACTTGAGCGAGTCGTCGGACAAGCGTTGGCAGTCCTGGAGCCCGAGGTGCTCGAGCTCGAGGTTCCCATCGGCCTCGCCGCTCTGGCCGGCGATGTGGCTGATGCCCACGTCGGACACGTACCAGCACGACCGGAGGTTGAGCCGCCGCAACCGCCGGAGGCCCCGCGCGATGGCCAGGAGCCCGTTGTTGGTGATGTTGCTGCACCCGCCGAGTTCGAGGGTCTGCAGGTTCTTCAGGTACTCACATATCCGTTTTAAACTAATGTCCGTCACTTGCTTGCACAGGGAGAGGTCCAGGTGGACCAGCGACTCGACTTCCGTGAAGAAGGCGTGCGACAGCGCGACGTCGTTGACGTTGAAGCACCCGCTCAAGCTGAGCGACTCGAGTTTGTTTATGTTTTGCACTACGTCCCGGAGAGACTTCTTGGAGGAAAGCACTTGCACTCTGCGGATGCCGCGGCGGTTGAGGCTGTTGTAGAGGGTCGTGTTGGCTTTCTTGAGGTGGAGCTTGGCCTGGACGCCGCGCCACACGGACTTGTGGTAGGAGGCCTCGCGCCACGCGGAGCACACTTGGGCCGCGCGGCCCTTATCACACACGTCGAGATAAGAGAAGATGAGCGCGAGGATCTCCGGGTAGAGGCTCGAGATGTGGGTTTGGTTCCACTGGGGCAGCGCCGGCGACGGCGTTCGCCGCGTGAGGTTCAGGTGCGGCTGGTGGAGTTTGGGGTGCCGCGGCAGGATGGGTAACTCGGTGAAAGGGAGGTCCTCCATGCTGGGCACGAGGTGAAACTATTACGACAGCACTCGCGGTGAGGGAGGCATGAGGTCTCCGCGCGCGGTGCTCTCACGAACTGACGGCGGGGAGCGAGTGGTGGAGCGGCCCGACTTGACGCCGAGGGCCTCCCCTCCACGCCGGCGCGCCCGCCGCTCATTGGTCGCTCCGCCGGTCACGTGGCCTCCCCGACCCGGTATTGATTCCCCGCTTATCGGCGGCAATTTTTAAATTTTTCGGACCCCGCGCCGCCCGCCGCCCGCCCTCCCGCCCGCCCGAATTCTGCTTGCGTCACGATCGACGGGCTCCGGAGATCGCCGCCGCGAATTTCGGCCATCCCTAGTAGTAGAACCATTGGAGGAAAAGATAAAGATTATGAACGAAAGTTAATTTATTTTATAAAACGCATGCATACGAAAGTGTTAAAAGTGAACATTTATATGTTATCATTATAAAAAAAGTCATATTTTTCGTGAGTTTTTCGCAAACATACTAAAAAATCTACTATTTCGCGAAAAGCTCACGAAAATGATGTCCTTTTTTTTTAAATATAATAGTTACATAAAAATGTTCGCTTTTAACACTTTCGTATGCATGCGTTATATAAAAAAATAATAAAAAAAAAGGTCTATAAAAAATTACCTAATCCATATAGCTTTTATCATTTTTCGTATAGGTATTATGGTCAGATCTGAAATTTGATTTTTTTTTTATTATAAGCGTGGCACGTTTTTTATACAAAACTACCATTTAGATAGCAGATATGTTTTTTTTATACTTTTTTTTTAGAAAAACAAAACTTTGTTCTGCTACCAGGGTTGCTCACTGAGAACTAAGCCTCTAATTGCATCCTATATTTGCGGGGAAAATAATTGAAAAGAAAAAAAAATTGAGTGTTCTGTTGCGACAGCGCAATTTTTGATACCGGTTTACCAAAAGAAAATGTTCTTCACATTCGAGAATCGATTTAACTTTAATTTTTTGCCCGAGCTTTTATGTTTAAGAGTTTGTTCGTATGCCTATTGAAGGATATGTTGCGCCTCGCTGGCAAAATTTCTCAGTCTGCGGTTTGGCAAAATTTTTGCCGCGGATTGACCATCCCCGTTTGTCCAGTCCTGGAAACTGGCCGATGTTTTTGCCCAGTTCATGCACTGGACTCGCGGACTGGCCGGTCTTAAGTCTGAAAATCACGCCGATTCGTAATCGCTAATTTTAGCAGTAATTAATACGCTAACCGACATGTGTCCCCCATGACCGATCTCTAAAGAATATTTCTCGAGATCTTCAACGAAACGTTTAAGTATCAAAATAAAAACCATCATTAACTGTTTTAAAATTTTCAGGTTACGTGAATCAAGCTCACAATTAATTTTTTTTTTTTCAATTTATTGTGGGAGTTTTTAACAAAAATCAACGAGTTTTATTTATAAATCGAATATCCGAGTTAACAAAACTGATCGACAGAAATTCCTTTTATCGAGGGAGAGACGAATGAAACTAACAGAAAGGACACTTCTCGGGCAAGAGTATCTAGCAAATTTTGCTCAGAAATGATTTCAAAAGTTAAAAATCCGGAAGCCTGATATTTATTGACCAAATAGAGAGCGGCACTTTNTTGGGGGGGGGGGGGGTAGTAAAATGATTGAAACTAATACCTAGATTCTCCACGCACTTCGGTATTAAGGTGCTACAACCAACGAAAACTCCCATACATTGCCGGAGAGGTAAGAAAAGCAAAAACGCCTTCAATTTTTGAATATGCAACACGCACATCCGTGGAACACGAATAGTTGCATCCAGGCGCCGTGCCACAACCAACTCACAATCAAGTGTAGAATTCGTCGGTCGAGATAATCACCGATCTGAATAGGTCATAGCTCATATGAAAAAACGTAAGTTTTAGAAATTGTAATCGAGAAAAATAGTAAAAAACGTTTCAATCGACCCGTTCCAAATACATTTCAGAGATCTAAAATTTAAGGGGATGAATTATTTAATCACATTATACATAATCTACGATTTAAAACTGCTCGAGTATTACAGTGCAGATCCGTAGAACACGAACGAGTATCAAAGCGGTCCGAGTTTAGCAACTCAACCATCAAAGTAAGTAGCAGTTGTTTGATAAACTTACCACCCAACATGGAATTGAACAACCAAGACGGGAGATAAGATGTGTACTGCTACTTATGACAAAATGTGGAATGCCCCTGGGTAAAAGTTCACCTTGTCGGGGTAGGTTTCTATTTGGACCGCGTTTAACAGAAAGGAACCACGAACCAAGCCACATCAGCTACTGCCTTTAATTGGGCAATTTAATTTTTTACGAGAGAACGTTTGTGCGGATTCCTTCGAAAATTTTAAGGAATTTGCTTCGCAGTATAGAGAAAATTCACTGAAATTAGCACACAAATCCGCACAACCGTTTTCATGTATAAAATTAAATTGCCCAATTAAATTTGGCGATAGATGTCATTTGGCGGGCTTTTCGGATGCAATATGTTCGCCGTGAGAGAATTCTTTTGCCCGAACGACGGAATGAAGGTGAACTACGTCTTGATGCACGTTTCAAAGTAGGTTCGTTGTATCTGAATGACCCTATAGCCTCCGCCTCCGTCTCGACCGACATGCAATTTCCACGAGTCGGAAAAGTTGCCTAAGCGTTCAAAATGAAGGCTGAAATCACGCTTCTGTGGCGCTCCGTAGAAACCCAATGTTTCAAATGTACGAGGATGCATTTTATGATTACTCTCACATAAAATACATTTGACATAGCTAACTTTTGAAACGCGTTAAATTGTTTTCTTATCTAAGCAAAAAGAAATATGTTTCTTGAAAGGCAGATCAGAAGATGCATTCCTGACCAGGGCCGGATTTACTTACTTGCCGCCCATGGGCCGTTTGTATTTCGCCGTCCCCTTTCATTCGTTTTGAAGCAGCAATAAAAACCATCAAGTGAACGTGCCGGAGGAGAGGGGTGCATAAGACGCGTTTACTCGTGTTGGACACATTTTTTGCGGAAGCCCTGTCAACACTATTAGCAAAAGTTCACAGAACTTGGCGCGAAAGTTAAGTTCCGTAAACCTATCTCTGTGTGGACAAGGCCTTCCATAAGAAATGAACGAAAAAATTATGAAAGAACAAACATAAATGTGGTTTAATAATTTTAACTTCCGCCGCCGCGCCGCGCTGACCGCACTGTGTTTGACGCAATGCGTGAAGTATTCATGTAGTCTTGTAGGCGCTATACGTTTCACGCCGCCCGCGCCCGCTGCTGACCGCACTGTCTTTGACGCAACGCGTGAAGTATTCATGCAGTCTTGTAGGCGCTAATATGTGTTACATGCCGACCGCCGCGCCGCCGAGGGTTTCTCCTTTTTATCGCAAGTTCTCGTCATCATTGCTCTCTGCGCCGCGCCGTTCTAGGCCAAATTCCGTGTTCAGTTTCTCTCTTAGTCTTAACTCGACCAATTGAAGGTGCTGTCTATTGTATCACAGACGACAAAATTAGAGATATACTCTCAGGAAATGAGAGATTTTGTCACCTTTTCTCGTTTTTAATTTTTTTTCTGAATCCAATTTTTCTCTAAAGCTACATTTAAAAAAAATGCAAAATTTGCCGCCATGGGCGGCAAATTTAGGAGGTGGCATTATACAGGCTGAATTTTAACGTCCCTACGTCATACAATGCTTTTGTGAATCGATATTATTTTGCATGTACAAGCGGGATCGAAGTTCCTGCGTCGAATGGTTTCCCGCAACCCGCCATACATAGCTAAGACGTTCTACCTAGAACGGTTTGCCGCAACCCGCGGTACACACTTATCAACGGCGGCACCGGGGAAATAGTTGCACTCCAGTTCTTGAATAGATAAATACGTTTCCTCACGCACTCTACATCTCCCCCGCACGCGTTTGGCGTGCTCCTGCGTTGTTGATTAAACCGAGAGATACCCGGAAACTATGACCGTAAATTTTACCGCATAAATCGGCTGCTCGATCCAAAATCGTGTTTGAGAGTTGAGGATGATTCTGTTTCGGCGAGTGTCGCTGAGAAAAGATAGAGACCAGTTGCGTGGCGTGCTTTGCGATGTATCGATTGATCTGCCATTAAACCAATGGAAAAGGATCGATAGACAGGGTGTTCGCAACGAACATCTTAATAATCGATTCTTTACCATAGCTTCAAATGGAGAGATGTCGATAGTCGATTATTCACGCCACGCCACTGTTAGAGACTGATCGTAGAGAGGGAGAGGAGCGCGCAAGAAATCTTAAGCGCCAACATATTTCAATGAACTGATTTTATTTGATCAGAAGCTGATTAGGCTGTCTGAATTTGCAGCTCTTTTCAAATGTTCAAAATTTTAAAGGACCACTAAACCTTAAACGTTCGAAATTGCGGCCATGACCTTTTTTACATAATAACCATCGAATGCAATCGAAAATATCTAACAGCATTATGTAGTCATTAAATTGGCGTACTCATATATCTTAGGTTTTCTTTTATTTTCTGGGTTTTATTTTAAATTTATTATTTTTATTTTGTTTTAGTCTTCGTTGCCATTACGGATTTGCCGCTTTTATTTTCGAGGGGTAAAAGGTAAAATTGGAATAGGAATATTAGATTTTCGGCGTTCCTCTTCATACCAAGGGAAAAACTTTGAGAGGTACTTTCCAGTTTTCAGTTTTCGACTTGAGAATTTAAAATGACAAGGGCCAAAAAAAATCGGCGGAAACTGCGAGTCAATCCGATCCCCCTGCCAAATGTTATCCGCCCAAAGTTTATCTGGGGGATCTGCACCTTTATTTCATAAGCCCTTGTCTCACGATCAAATGAACTCATCAAATAGTCATCAAATGCAAGATGGCGACTGGTTTTCGCGCAAGTCAGCTATCAAAAGTTAGCGGGCCGTCAATGTTGATGAACCCGCCATCTTGCATTTGACGAGTTCATTTGATCGTGAGACGAGGGCATTAGAGTAGGTTCGACGGCTCATGGATAGACCGTTTCTCCTTTTAGAAAGTCCTTAGAAACTCCACATGTGACACTTGAATCTTCATTTGCCCCCACGTGTGGGAGCCACCACGGTCCCCACCGGAGAGGGGGAGGAGTCTAATTCAATAAATTTCATTAAAATGCGAAGAGTCCGAAAGAGCTCCGATCTCCGAGCTACGGAATTAGCATCGAGTCCGAATGCATCTTCTTGAAAATGTAATCGCGGAAGCGGCCTGTAAATTGACGGAGAGGTTGTATTACTCTCAGCCCCCTAATCCCCTTTTTTTTCGTTTCAGAGCGGGGGGAAATCAGGAAATTCACCTTAAATGGTGCCCGAAAATCTGCCATACTTGACGAGGGTCCCTTAAGAAACAAGACTAGTTATTAGAGTACCAGAAATACATGACGACCGCTCACTTTGGGGCCAAAAGTATCAATAAAACCCCCGCTGCCCCCCTAAATTGCATCTTTGAGGGTCAAGGTGTTGTTGTCTTTTTCCGTTGTTCGAGAATCGACGAGGACTTCCACAGGATACGGCATTTTCGCAAATGAACTAATGAACGTCCGTGCCGATTCTTTCATTGAAAATGTCGTCCTTTGCCACGGGCCCCTTATTTTCCACGTTGACATAGGAGAGACCCGGTAGCAATCGACTTAATTTATGCTGCCTGCAAGTAATGTCCAACTTGACGAGGACCCTTGAAAAGTTGTGACCTGTCGGAGGACCACAATCCTAGGACTGCCACCCACTTTAGAGACTTCTATAAAACCGTCGCTGCCCCTCTGAATTTCCCTCGTGATTCTTTACAAATTCAAGGTTTTGTAGTCTTATTCCATTGCTCAGAGAATCTACGAGGACTGGTCCATCTCCTTAGAGTGGACGGCAGTCCAGGGATTGTGGTTCTTCGACTAGTCGACTCCGACTTATCATGGGTCATCTTCTAGTTGGACATTACTTCAGTCCTTTTCTCTCAGGTCTCACCTTTTTCGGCGTAGAAAATAGGGAAAAGAAATGAGATTTTTTATGTGAAAATGGGCGCGAACGATCCTCAGTTCATTTACGAAAGAGCCGTATCCGGCGAAAGCCCTCGTTGATTTTTAGAGCAACGGTATAAGACTACCAAACATTGAATTTGTTAAGAATCAAGAGTGAAATTTATGGGGGCAGCGTGGGTTTTATGGATGATTTCGTCCCTAAGTGGGTGGCAGTCCAGGGATTGCAGTCCTCCGACTAGTCACAACTTTTCAAGGGTCTTCTTCAAGTTTGACATTACTTTCGGGCTTCATTTCAGTCCTTTTCTCCCGGGTCTCTCCTTTGTCGGCGTAGAAAACAAGGGGAGATAGGTAGGGTGTCACTTATTTTTGATATTTGAGGAAAGTTAATAAAATAAGGAACGTTTTTTCAAAAAAAAAATTTTTACCGACCTCTCAAGCGCCCTAAAGGGCGCACGTGTCAAAATTGGCATCTTGACAAAATCAGTGTCGTTTCACTACGGACATCATCCAAATTGCGGTGCTTTAGAAAAATAATTTCAGTTTGGTCGTATCCGTAGCCGGAAAGTCGGCCAGTTGAGTCTGGCCGAAAGAACGACCAGTTGAGGCGCGGTAACCCTTCGACGCGCCTCTTAGACCCTGCAGTGAACTCGAGCCTCTTGCTGCCGACGTAGGGTTGCGAATAATTCGTCCCAGCTGGAAATTAACCTAACCTAACTCTTCGGACCAAAATTTTGGTCATTTCACCGGATCTCTGAGGCTTTGGCCGTAAACTACCATTTTCAGGGGAAAGGTAAATCTGCTTACCGGGCGCGTCTGTGGGTTCGGCTCCTTTTAGCATTGTCGACCCAATTTCGCCGGCTATTCCTGAGGCTTACATCTTTCTTTTTTCTCATACAGACAACTTGACACATATGTCTATACCTCTTGTTTTCGCTTATTTAACGAAAGGATTAGTCTTCTTGAGGAAAAATATCCAAAACCATCGTTGAAGAGTTGTTTACAACCGTTCAGGACACTGTGTAGCCGGAGCTTTCATGTTTCGATCTCATTCTTGTCTTCAGTCTTCTTTTTGGACTAGAGAGTTGGGATCATGGTTTTTTTTTTAAAAATTTTACGATTACGAACCAAAGACGCCCTTTAGGGCGCTTAAGAGATCGGTAAAAATTTTTTTTAATTTTTTTGAGAAAATTTTCCTTATTTTTTTGAGAAAATTTTCCTTATTTTTTACACCTCATAGCACGTTTTGAGACCTGGGGAGCTGAAATTTTCTCAAATTTCAAAAATAAGGGACAATGAGGCTGAAATGGGTGGAAATAGGGGGGGACGGCCCTCCACACAATTCTGGTCGGCCCCTTCCAAAAAAAAATCAAGAGCCCAAGATACTAATTAGTCTTGAGGTAAAAGGCATAAGGAATGTAATACAACCTAACAGTGTTATGTTTTGAATGAACTAAAACCCACAGTAAGATATGCTATGTTTAAAACAAGTCAGCAAAATTTCTGTCATCTGTAATATTTAATTCCATTTAATTTGCCATTGATAAATGGCTCAAAAATTTTCTCGAGACGTTCCAATTTTCAAAAATTTGCCGGGGAGGCCTCCCAGATCCCCTTCAGCCCAAATTCTACATCCCCCTGTGCCTCCTCCCACAGAAAATTTCTCGTTCCGCCCATGTAAGGGACACCCTAGGGAGGGGAGAGATTTGACAAAGTCATTAATATTTTTTAATTAAGATTTTCAGACACTTTTAATCTAATTACAAAGAAAATCCTCTAATAAATTAGAAGAGCAATATTGACAAAATTTCCCAAAAATTGGAGATTTTCTCAAGGAAATTTGGCATCGTCTGAAGGCTCATACGGCGGTTTTCCGGCAGTATTAAGCGGTATTTTCAGGAGCGGTCTTTTTAACGGCAATTTGACACCAGTGGCTTTGATTTCGTTAAGTTATTATTTGGCCCACTACACTCATCTGTCTGACCAATTCAGTGCAGTGCAGCGGCTGGACGTCCGCGTTGATATCGCGTCGCGCCGATAGCGAGAGACGCAATCTATGCATGGGATTCCTGATTCCCCTGATTGCCGCGCGCCGCGCCGCGACGACACCTATTTCTGTCCCCCACCAGAAACTCTGTCCATTCAAGAACTGGCGCGCAACCCATTCCGCGGGCCGCCGTAGCTGTGTATGCCGGGTTGCGGGAAACCATTCGACGCAGGAACTTCGATCCCGCTTGTACTCTCAGTTATATACCCGAGTAACCTAGAATGTTACATGTACTGCATAAGAATCAGAGTAAGAAAAAGAGCGTAGATTTAAAACTCCCGCTTCACTGTTGCTTTCCAAATTACAGCCAGCACTGCCAACTTTCCACAAAATCCCCTCAGCTCACGTTACTGAATTACTCTCCTAAAGTACGAGGATTTAGGGTCCGAAAAAAAAAAATCAAGACTGATTTGTGGGAAAAAGTGTACGAGAGGTCTAGCCGCAAATATACTGCTAGTTTTGATTATTAGAGAGCCTGTGAACAGTGCTACACATTTTTCTCAAGTTCTAATGAAAATCGTAAAATTGTTTTGGTGATACTGACAAAGTAGAGAACTGGCGCCAAAACTACAAAATCCTGTCTCAATTTTTTGAGGTTATTTGTTTTCTTTGTTGTGTTTACTTTTCAACAGTTTATCATGTGAAATCTCACTCAACTTAAATTGCCTGCCTTTAAGCCTCACATCATTTGAAAAGTTCCGTTTTTCCTAGTTCAGTTTCATTACTCGCACTAGTTTTCTCTCTCCGTTCTGGTAAGATGTCTGAACTACACTAGGTCCAGTTTTACCTCGGCGCATGCCGAGCCTGCTGTCAGTTGAGAGTTAGCTTGCTTCTCTCGTCGAATACTTACGTATTTTCATCTTCCCACATTCATATTTGGTACATGACGTATCTTTAATGGCTATCACCAAGAGAAAATGGCTCATCTATCGTGTGAAGTTGTCAAGAATAACAACTTTTAGCTCGAGATACTGAGCCCATCGTTTTCACTAGGATTGTTCCCATCATATTTTTCTCATTTTAATTCAGAATCTAGATCCTACTCATTTGGATGGAGACAGAGTGATAAGGATTAGTGTAAAATCTATCTGACATGATCATCTCCATTGCCCACATTTCTCTATTTTTTGTTTCCTCAATTTCTCATCCAACTTCGTCAGATGAATTTATTCTGGCCGGAGCCAGTATTCATAGGTGAAGAAAATTATCATGAGATCAAAGCTTCTGTATGTAGCCCATCACATTGATTTGATGGAAATATTTAATGATTGTGGAAGGGTGAATATAGTTAGATGCCAGAGTAGGTAGCTTAAAAGCTATGGTGCGTTTTCTATCAGGCCCTAGATTTACTATAAAATTCAGTATTCTCATAGTAATTGTAAATCAGGAGGTAGCATCGTGCTGATGTTGGGGCCTTTTGCTCACAATATTCTGCAAAGATCTTCAAATGTGATTTCCTTTGTTTTGAAATTTGAATTAATTTTTCAGGAATATGGAAAAGAAATTAACATCCTTGCTGGTCCAATTGGATTCTCTGATGTCATCTGCCACAATCATTGAAAGTTTGGTTCCGGCCACTGACGTTAATCTTGGTGAAAGCATTGTTGTTGAGAAATTACAGCAACTTGTAAATAAAGTGAATCAAGTGAACGCACAAATAAATTACCTTCATGAATGTTTTAACTCCTATGACCAGTGGATGGAAAGAGAAAAGGTAAGAAATGGGGAAAAAGATTTGAGCCCTTTCTATTAATATTTAAGGTGTGTGTACTTTAATTCATTATGTCCAAGACCTGGGATTATCAGGATTCATAAGGCTACGAAAACCTTTAATTGACTCTTGTCAATGATCAGCTTAGATGCGATTCTTGTCAACAGTCAATCAATTTAAAATAGATGCAAAATGCAAAAATACAATGAATTAAAACTTTTGGGAAATGAAGGAAATATCAGCCATTAAAAGCAGGAACGATTTCTCTCTGTGCGTCAAAATCATTTTGTTTTAAAATTTGGTGGTTTTTCCTGACTCAGTACCGCAGGATCAGCCTAAAGATGAAGGAAAATCAATGTTTTTGCGGAAAACCCTGTTGAAAGTGGAATTTTTTGGGAGATAATTAAGGGAAAATGGGAGAAAACCTAGATTTTTGCTCAGGATTCACCTCCCAAAATCGAGGATAATTTAGGTTTTTTCAGGGAACTAGGAAGTTAGTAATTCCTAGACATACTTAGCACCTACTTTCAAAATTACTATTTTGGGGCAAATTTTCCTCCATACCTGCCAAAGAAAAAAAATCATACACTGTATGATGAAGTGGAAGATTGATACATAGTCCAGTCAATCTAGCTTTTTACCTCGGACAAATTAGCACAAACTTTTCCTTTGGTATATAGGGTCTCTAGGTACCCAATAAGACAGAAAAAAAAGTTTACCAAAAAATTCCATCGGGAAAGTGGTCAAATCGCAGTTTTTCAAAATGGCGGCTTACGGCAATTTTCAAAGAGGACGTACATACGGATTTCCCTTTATAACTCAAAAATAATGCGTCAAACCAAAAAAATTTGGCATTAGTTTGAAAGATCATAAAATTTTGATTAAGAATCATATACAAAACTTAGGCTTTTCTTATTTTTTTCTTTCCGAATTTTAATATTTAAAAACAACAACCGGCAAAATCTGCTGAAAATTCACGATTTCTCGCGTTCTTGACCAATTTTAGGTCAAAATAATTAATTTAAGGTTAAAAACAACGGCACCACTGAAAATTACGCTAAATTTTACATAAGTATACCCATTCATTTTACCTTTTCATCTTATATGACCTCATTGTGAGACGAATCATTCAAAAGCATGAAGTCAATATTCAACTACAAATTCAGCTGTTTTTTTCCGTTTCCAGCGCTTTTGATCAATTATTTTTCGACAAAAGTATAACTTATATATACTTTTTAGAAAGGTAATGAAATTTGCAAGACAAATAACACCCTGGTTTTCATTTAAATTTTACAACATGTACCTGAAAAGCGTATTTAAGGGAATTACGCTAAAAACTGATTTCTCTAGAAATTTCAGAATTTCAACGATTTTCGGCTTTTTGACAGCTGGAAACTGAGGATCTGATTCAACGACGGTAATCATCGTTTAGAGCATAAAATTTCCAACAAATTGCATACCTGAAATTACTGGTTTGAATTTTTTAAAGAGGGTTAGATATGGCGTTAAAGTTGTCTATTGGAAAATCCGGCTGCTCGGTTACGAACCACTTTCTTAACATATACTCAAAATTTTTAAGTTTAGTAATTTTTGTTTGAAGTAAATTTTATGGTACCAATGTAATAGCACATGGAAGTTAAAAAAATGTCCATGAATAAATTTTTTAAGGTATTTAAGTGTACTTAGAAGCCAATTTTTGAGACGGTGAAAATTTACAAATTATTGAATAATAAGGCTTTTTCTCAGGTTTTTGTGGTTTTTCATGGCTGCAAACAATTTTTTTCATCAAACCATGGTAATCATCAAAAAGCAGATAAAATTTTATGTAAGAAATGTACCTTTATTTGAATTTTGGCGTCTCTCGTGAAAATGCGGAGGCAATGTTGAAAAAAATTGCAATTTGCCCGAAAAAAATTTTCCCGCGATTTTTCTTATTTTTTACGTGTTAAAAAGAGTTTAAGAAAAAAAACAAGGTAAGAAATGAAAAGTTCATAAAATTTTCTATAACATAGGGCTAGTGAAGTTTGCCGTAAAGTCTTTTTGAGGGGTCCTAGCACTGAATTTTGGTTTAAAAAAAGTTAAAAAAAAATTGATGAAATTTAATTTTTTAGTTATTTTTGAGATTTTATCGCTTTAAAATGAGCTTTAAAGTTAAAATGAATGATGTAACTGAAAAGTACGTTAAATTTCGGTCTAGAAAAGTGTGTTCAACATCCTTTCAAGTAATTATATTTGCCGGTAGGATAATTTCTTCTGGGATCAAAACTGACGCTTTTCTGAAAAAAGTCCATTTTTAGCTCCATTTTTCTAATTTTTAAGCATTTTAGAGGGGTCTGATCAAAAAACCACTGTAACCACGTGAAAGTACATAAAATTTACAATAAGATTAGGTACCTTGTTTCAAAAATTTCGATATTTTTTGTGTTTGACACGGCTTTATTTAAAATTGTCAAAAATGGCAATATTTACAGAAAGTTGATTTTCTATGCTAAGCACCATCCCTTTATTGGATTGGGTTGTATAATGAAGGCAGCTCGGGGAGCGGGTCTTTTTGCGTTGGAGGAATCAATACTAAAACTAATAATTATAATAAATTCAATACAACATTGAAAGTTTGGAACCTTTGGGCGGTCAACTCTAGCGAAAGCGCAAATAAGGATTAAAACGCGAGTACAGGTACGCGGGAAGGGGATGTCAACAGGGGAGACGGGTAGCACCTGTGCTTTAGGTGACGTAACACAGGCTTGTGTGACTTTATGCCCGGCTTTTCTTTAGAATGAAAAGTTCATTAATTGAAAGTTTACCGACCTGCCTCCTGTCGTCTGCTTTTCGATCGCTACGAGAGAGGAATCGAACTCAATCTTCAACGGGTGAGTAAAATCAAAGTATTGAATCTACTTCTACATTTTTCTAAAATCTGTATTGTGTTATAATAAGTCCAGAATGAACCTTTCAATATATTCAATAAGTATGCGGGCCTGCTTGCCTGTGTTGTTTACTAAATAAGATGTGAGATCTGGTTCACCGAGATCAGGAAACCTGTTGCTAAAGCCAATTGTAAATCAATGAAACATGATAGCAAAAAGGAAGCGGAAAATGAAGATAATTAGTAATTCAAATAGTCCTTTCCGAAATTGCTTAACTATTGTAAGAATGAAAAATTCCCCTCTCTTTCCTCCACCGGATTATCAATCAATCTATCAATGCAACAGGGAAACAATGAGGTACAAACAACTGCAATGAGGTAGGATGCCAAAATACCGAGGAAGAAGCTTCCTTTAGCGGCGATGAGTCGGATATTGAATAAAAGTATTTTAGAGACAAAAATATTAAAAATCATTTTATACAAAAAGTTAAAGGGAATAAATTAATCAAGTAAAGAAATTAGGAAATGTAAGTAAATAATAAGAAAAGTAATAAAAACATGAACCTTCAATTACCCTCGGAATCTTGTCAGCCGAATACACGACAATTTATACAATCAAATATTCTTTAGCTTGCCATAGACCAAATAAAAATTTAGTTGATATTTTATTTCATTACTCACCTTTATATTTCTCAATTTGTGTCAATTAAATATTCGACGTTACTGAAAAAATTGCATTTTCACATTTATATCCTCAATTGGGCGGGGGGGAGGGAGGGGCTTGAAGGACAAGGCGCATAAGTGCAGTTTTCGCTATTTCGACAAAAACGTGTTAAAAGTTTATAAATTATATGAAGCCTCATGGCGGAGAGAAAGTTCCAACTCACATGTTGATGCTTAAAAATTGGATTTTATCAGTGAATTTTTCACAGAATTTATTTCAAACCTAGATTTAGTTGAAATCACTAATATGTCGATTTTTTCGAAAACTGCACTTATGCGCCTTTTCCTTAAGCCTCTCAATTACTTTTTTACCCTTTCTTATTAACTTTTTATGTCATCAAACCGAAACCGACAAACTTTGGTAAAAATACCGGGTAATACTAAGTTTATTGAAAATAAGTCGATAAACAGGTATGTTACAAATTAAGGCCGCCATCTTTTTTCCGCCATCTTCTTGCCGACATCTTGAATTTTGATTTTGACTACAATTAATATCAAATTCAAAATGTACAGGTCAAAATACCAGGGTATACTGAGTTTCATGAAAATCCGGCGATAAACAAGTAGTTTCCAAATTATGGGCGCCATCTTTAATTTTTAAAAATTATGGCCACCACCTTCTTCCCGCCATCTTTGATTTCAATTCTGGTTAGAACCAACACCGAATTCAAATTCTCTAGGTCAAAATACAGGGTTTTACTAAGTTTCATGCAAATCAGTCGATAAACAGGTATCTAACAAATTACTGCCGCCATCTTCTTTTCCGCCATCTTGAATTTTGATTCAGACTGAAAGTAACGTCAAATTCGAATTTCCTAGGTCGATATACTGGGATACACCAAATTTCATGAAAATCTGCCGACAAATAGATGTTTTGCAGTTTTTTTCTTAGAATCTTTAACTGCGATAGTCTAAACGGTGAACGAATCAGATAAGCCCCCCCCCGGGTCCACCATCCCTCTAAGTGCTTCTCCCTTTACTATGTACCATGGCTATCAAATTAATAACAAAATTTATTTCAAAAATAGTCGAATATTCGGGAAAAAGGTTCACACTGATCGAAATTCCAGCCAAAATTTACAAAAAGTAAAAAATGTCAAATTTGACACCATTCCATAAAGGCCCTATAAAGGTCTTTAACCTTCAGTTAAATTTTGATGTAATATGTGTTTTCAAAAGAAAATTTCATGCTCTTTCCAATGGTACCAACAGTTTTGAGAGAAAAAATTCTTCCATTGCTGTATCTTAAAAGTTACAAACCAAACTTGAAATTTCAAGAAAATTCTAGTCTTTTTTTTCGGTGTCTGACCTCGTAGCTCGGCACCAACAAGTCAAAATTAAAAAAACTAATATATATTCGTGAGCAGAATTTTATACTCTAAAAAAACGACAGGAATGATTTTTTTCACTGGATGCACCAGAATCACGCAAAATCGGGAAAACGGTGACGAAGTCAACAATCAATTTATCCGTTATTTCAGACGGCCGCCATTTTGTCATACGCAATTTTGACTGTGTTCCCGAGGGGGGCTAATGGTAAACTTTTTTTTGGGGGCTCTAGACATGTTTTGGAGCGCTTTAAAACACAAGAGAAGTTTGTGCTAATTTGTCCGAGGTTAGACCCTTTTTTTGGCTAGATTGACTGGACTAACAAGTAAAACCTCTTTTTAAACTCATGTGTTGTTTCAAGTATAAACTCATTTCAAATCCAGGCGTGCAGGAAATGCTTGAAAATGTAAAATAGTATCTAAAAATGTGGAAGGAGAGGCAATTTTGAAGGGTCATCAGTCGAAAGTCAATTAAAAACAGAAAAAAAGGTCATCTTTTATTAAGTTGGTGGGAAATTTTGTGGAAAACTGAAGAGAAAAATGTGGAAAGCTGGCAGGTGGGCGCGTGAAAATGTGGAAGCTTGGGAGATCTTGCACCCCTGTTCACATCATCTTTAATGCAAAAGTTAATAGTTGTGTTTATATATCAGAGTCCAAACTTGAAAAGTGTTAAAATGTGGAGAAATGGTCCAAACTATTTTTATGCAAGTCTATTAGTAAAAATCTGAAGTAAATTTCAAAGAAAGAGACATTTGACTTTTTGCTCTACTCAACTAATCATGTTTGAATGTTCGGCTTTTTGTACCTTTGGAAGACTCAGTCTTTGGAAGACTCAGTCTTCCAAAGGAGGGCTCAATGGGGTTCTCAACTGAATGTTACAGGGTTTTAGTAATAGTCTCTGTTGTGAGACATTCAAGTTATTTTATTCAACGTAGCTCCTAACTCAATGTTTTTGGAATCTTGGGTTGTACCCTTTATACCTAACTTCGTGCTTTTGATTGTTGTGCAAACTTCTGGAAAGGATTCACAATTTTAGATTTCATCGTCTCTTTTAAATGGGAAAAAAACTCCAAGAAAATAAATACTTATAATCTAATGTTTTTTCAGGAATTACTAGCTAAGTTGGAAAACTTGACTGCACGACTAGACCACTTAGAAAGGTATCTGCCGGCACAATGCTTTCAAACGGTCGCAGTAAGTTCATCTTTCAATATTTTTCTTTTTCTTTCTAGGTTTTGTCTTAGACTAACTTATAACATGTCATCAAGTACCTACTCATTGAATGTCAATTAAAGCAAGTTAAAATCAAGACAAAAGAGTCAAATTGGTAATTGAGAATGAATTTATACCTATACATTCAGCTAATTACCCAAGTCAGGTTTTATAAAAGTGACCGGTTGGTATGCAGTTCTTTCTATGCAAGAATTTTATGTGAATACAACCTAGTAATTCTAAAGCATGTCAAAGTCAGTCTTGTATAGAAGGTAAATTTTGGATTGATAAGGTTTTAATCAATAAGCATGAATATCTTTTGCTGTTTTTATGAGTTCGTTTTGGAAATTTTTATCTTGTTCATGGTTCCATTTAAACTTTGATTAGGAAGTTTGTATCACGGTGCTTATGTTACAACCCTTTTCAATGGTCCATCACAATCTGTGAGGCAGGATTTGTAATGTTGGCAGATGGCATTCTCCAAACTCTTATTATGACATTACGTTTCGAGCTGAGTTAGTGCATGTAAAGGGTGTAGGAAGAAAAACTAATTTTTTAAAAATATTATATTTACTCCAAAGTAAATCAGAAATCCTTGAAAGTTTCTGATTTTGTTGATTGGGACTTTTCAAAAAGTCCTTTAGAATTCTTGATTTTTGTATCGAAAAGCTGTTATAAATCTTATGGAAGATGAAGGCCAGAGATAAAGCCTCAGACCAAAAATAGAAATTTTGAGGTGTAACTTATATGATCGGTCGGAGTACATGCATTAACTTGCACCTTAATATGGACTCGAAAATAACACCTAACCCTCCCCTCCGTTCAATTGGTGCAACAGCTTATTTCAGTAAATGACAAGAATTTCACCTACTAAAGCTATTTTGTAGATATGTCTAACAGCAACACAAAAATTTATCACCACTGGAAGGGATCAAAACCCTTTTCGAAACTAATTTGGTCTGAAGATTGATTCTGTTTGCTCAAGATGCTCACACGGTAAATTCTTAGATTGTCTCATTGGTGAATGCATGTACAAAGAATTGCCTCTTCTTCCAGGCCAATCTTCCAGAGCAAACTCCTCCAGATTCACATGCTACCAATGGCTATCACAGTGGCACCCATAACGGAACATCCAGCACTGCAACATTAATGGCGAACTCAGAACCAAAAACTGTGATAAAAAAACCGGTTGAATACCCTCATATCAGGCATTTAACGCAAGAAGAACTAGACGAAGTTCCAAGGTAAGCACACCCTTCATATCCATCTTGTGAAAGTACTGACTTTTACAATTGAGATTAGATTTAAATTTAAGTAATTACGGTATCAGGCGGTGAATGAAATGCACTGTGAATATTACGGTCTAAAGGAGTCGATACACTGAACCTCAGATTATCAGAACTAATGAGACGGTTGGATGGTTTGGATAATGCAGAGGTCACTATGACGAGCCCAAATTGACACTCTGATTTCAGGAAACAAGATGAAGTGAACTCGAATTTGAAGTAAAATTTTGTATTAAATTTTCTTAAATAAAACATTTAGGTAATAAATTACAATAAAACATTTACCTACTCATTTTGAAAAATCTAAGGAATATGAGTATATATTTAGAAAGCAAACAAGTAGGAAATAGAACTTACTCATGATGGTTTGGTTCTGCTGGACCAAGAGCAAATTCAGGTAACAGTAAAAACAAAAAATAAAATCAGTCTGAATAAATTGATGAAAACCCTCAAGATTTAGGAGTTAAAACATTATGATTTTAAGGAAAACATAATTGAAGTTCCAAAAAGAATTGAATCCAAGTCATAAATGCTGACCTCTTAGAAATAATCAGCGAACCCAACTATAGTAATAAAATGTATCATTATAACATCTGACTTTCTTCTAAGATGGCTGAAAAGCACCTCCCATTAACAACTCAATATTACCGCTTTTAACTGTCTTCAGGCACATTACTTCCTTGAAAAATTTCTTCGGAAATGATAAAGACTCTTTTATGAATCAGGTTATGAGGACCTTGCAAACTCCTTATAGAAATCTGTGCCCTATTCGATTTTCAATTTTTTTATTGATTTAAACTCCTCTATGGATGCTGATCAAAAGTCATTATTGCGGCAACTTCCTACGAGGCACCATTTTTGCACAATCCACACTTTAAGTTTCAACAATCACTTGAATTAATGAAGACTGCTCCGAATTCTAACAAGGAAAACTCCAGCCAGTAAGTGGTAAGGAAGAGAGTAGGAAAGAAACGAAAGGAACTGATTTGGGATGGTGAAACCAGGTGAAAGGAAAAGGCTTGCGGAATCCGAGATAAGACTATTGCTGGGCATTGCAGTGGTATCTAAACACGCTGAGGTTTTCTTGTTTTTTCCTTGTTTTTAGCTGGTGCTGCAAGATGGAGAAATCTTTTTGACTCATTATTGCCGTGCTGCCTTCATTTATTCAAGTAATTATTGAAACTTAAAATGCAGATTCTGCGAAAACAGTGCCTCGTAGAAAGTTGGCATAATGATGGCTTTCGATCAGCATCCATAGACGAGTTTAAATCAATAAAGAAATTGAAAATTGAACACGGCACATATTCCCATAAGGAGTGTGCGGCGTCCATTAATGAACTAATATGGGGTCAAAATCGAAAAGTGCTTCTTGTAAAAAACCCTGTTGTTAAGCATAGAGAGGCAGAGACATTGTCTTTATTTTATTATGATAAAAAGCTTGAACTCTGCTATGAGAGAAGCATGAACATTAGTATATTATTATTGAACCATATTTCTGTAGTTATCCTTGTTTTTAATGAAAAATTATGCAGAAACTTGTTATCAAATCTGATTCCTTGATTTTTTCCATAGCTACATAAGGAATAGATTGCAGTTAGATAGAATCAGAGCATTTGTTGATAATTTCAATGCAGTCATGAAAAAGAAATATGCTCTGATGAGACTCCCAAGAAACAAAGTTCCGAAAACAGAAATTCCTCTTTACACTGCCTGGAAAGTTCAAGACAACAAGGAAACTAAAGGTATATCCCATTGATGTTTATTATCGATGAATTATTATCGTTACATTCAAGATAAAGCAAGAAACTGATCCATAATGTGTAGCAGCATTAATACTGAGTAGAATGTCATCAAATTTGTGTAGATCTATTGTAAAATACCTGAAACTACCATAATGGGCGTTGCCCATTGACTTAATATGTAAGAGAGATTCATTATAGCGATATCTCTCTTTTACACATTGAATCAATGGGCGACGTTCTTTATCGCAGTTTCAGGTATAAATTTACAATGAATCGTAACTAATTTGATGTCATTCTACTCAGTACTAATGCTGCTACTTATGGATCAGTTTTTTGCATTATTTTGTGCTTCTCCAAGACGTAAACGGTGAGGCAGCGCAGCATGGTAGCAGACCTTGGCCCTAGATCACCTAGAATCACCTTAAGTTCATTATTACATCCAGTCCCCGTTTGGAGCCAAAATATTTGTGATTGAACAAGCATATTAAAGAGGATAGAGAAAATGAGGAGGTTAAATCCAGAAAGATGGCAGGGCAGAGAATATCATGCAGTGCAATGCAATGCCTGTTATATAAAGATATGGAAGCAGAGCAGGAAGCAGGAATTCTTAGTTGCGCTTTCAGTCAAATCCTAAAAGACAGACCGACAGATCCTTGACGAAGGGGAAGGACAGGGTACTGAGTCTGTTGAAAAACGAGTCAACAGTTTCTCCTGAAATTTTTTGTGAATTTCCTTCACACATCCTAAACAAACCGCACAAAGCCAGGTAAAATTTTGATCAATTTTCCTTACTATAAAATGAAACGTAAGGGAGGTTTTTAAACTTTCCGATTAAGGTATGCATTTTTTGCATTTAGCCATCAATATTATCCTTTAATTTTTTAACTTTTAGAAGACTATCATTGTTTTTTACTTATTTTTACAACTTTTTCTCATTTTCCATGCCAAAATCTTTTGTATTTGCAGGTCATTCGTTCCTCACGAAGGCTGATCTAGATACATTCGGCTCTGCCAAATTATCAAAAGGAGACTTCACAATACTGCAAATCCTCCGTCACTGTAAAAGGCTAAGAGAAAGTAAACTCAACAAAGAGAGCTATTATATCCTCATAGACTAAAAAGTGAATCAGTGAGAACATGCTCGAATCTAAATTAAGTAAGTTATATTAGTTTAGTAAAAGAAAAAGCAGGACTTCCCTACTTTTCATCAAGGAATAAGGATACATCCTCTAAGTCCATCTGAGTTATAGCATGACTAATCTTTCTAAGGTCTTACTTTTTAATTCATATCATGACAGTGATAGAAAAGCACTAAAGTAGCGAAGATCCCTCCCAGAAAAACTATGTGCAGTAGACGCTCTTTAATGCTGGCCATTAAGCAAATATGTACAAGGTTTTCTTCACACTCATGCTCCTCGAGAAGTGTGGTTGTATTTTATCTCGAAGCTTATAGATCTATTTTTTAACAACACGATATATAATATCACTTTAATTTTGTAAGTTGGACTCCACTTTTTTATCTCTGTAATAAGAAAGAGGGTCACCTTTCAAATGAGATTTCCCCTTTGGTTTAGCTCAATAAAAATAAGAAATTATAGATTAATTGAGCAGGTTTTCTTGATCAAATTTTTGAGATCGTCAAAAAAATCAGTAAGATCTAAAACTTCCCCGACTTTACCTTGAAATCTTTATTTTCCGACTTGCATAACTGACCCATCAATTAGAAATAATAATGAAGCCAAAAAAAATTTCTGAGTTATCTGAAGAAATCACTCAGTATGTCAGTAGATGGTGGATACAAAGAGGTCAAGGAATTTTGGTCCTTTTACATATTATTCAGACACTGCAAGTAGATGCCCCGATGCAATCGATGAAGCCCTGAAAGTGAAAATTGGGTAGTTCGTGTCATTTTCAGTATCATTGATGACCCCATTCCCAGCTTTTTATTTCTGCGTCTAATATTGGCTCAGAAAAAAGAATGAATAAAGGAATTTTTTCTTTCCAGAAATCTGTTGAGCCTCGCTCACTTTTACCAACCCTATCGTTCTTCACAATCTTTGGCCATATGCTTAGTCAGAGCGTCTACATACTTGGAAGAGAAAATTCTTGGACTTTTTTCTGGGTTGCGTCAGAATTTAGAAAATGAAATCCCTTGACATTTTCCCGACACATTTTGGCAAATTCCCCAACAATTGTGGATATACCAGACGAAAGATGTAATATGAAATAGTTTCCACGTAAAATCTGTTGATCGAATTGTCAAACCCATTCTGGAAAGCAAATGAAGGTGATTTTGACTTAACAATTTTTCCCTAACCTTTTCTCAATTTTCCCTGACTTTTCCTGGTTTTCCAGTTGTTCCCTGACCATAACAACCCTGTTGATTAGGTTTTTCTGAACCTAATTAATCAAAATTCCCAGACTCTTATTGTTGACCAATGGCGCTGAGAACTGAAAATAAACAATTTGCAGGATTAATCTCACTGCAAGTGGCAGAAACATGAGAACAATTTTTCTTGAGGTATTGATCATTCAATGAATTAAAGTTGCAACTCTAAATTGAAACTTGTACCTTTGTTCACAATTCTGAGTGTAACTCTAAAGCATTGAACCCCGAACCAGACTTAGGTTCAGTTTGATTTTGTATACAACACGGATGTTCTCCAGATTTCAAATTTCCTGTGTCTCTTATAAAATTCCTTGACTTTTTCCTGATTCCGCCAACCTTTTTACCTTTGTACAAATTATCAAAGTCTCTAGTGAAAAATTGAAGTAACATTTCTGTGATTTTGAAAAATGACTAAAATTACATTTAGTCTTGTAGCCCAAAAAGTCTTAGCTGATTACGCAAAGCTGAAAATCGGGTTGTGGAAGACTGAAATAAGTAAAACGAGGGTATGCTCTTCCGCAACAGACCATCCAAAATCGACCAAAAGCTCCGCTCTATTCATTCCATTTCAGTCTTGGCGGGAAGTCTGAAAGAAAATGTGGATTTTACAATATTTGACACTCATTGATTCCATCGCCCCTTGTGCTCTGACCCTGTTAAACAAGCGCGGAACAATAGCCTTGAATGTTGTGTGTCAGAGTGAACGTAATATGAATTGAACTTCAAAATAAAAAAATCTACTTTAAGAGATTTTACCAACTAAAATGCTCTGAATATTCAAGCTCGATGAGCCCTCCAGTTAGACTGAGTTTATCAGAAAAGAATCAACCAAAATTTTCGAAAAAATTGAGTTTAAAATTTTTTGAGTTTCACTAGCCGTATATTTTCTCCTGCCAAAAACTGAAAGTCTAAATGAAAATAATTTTTTTTTTTTTTTTTTTTTTTTTTTTTTTTGTGAAGACAGGGGTTGAAGTTTACTTTTTAAAGTGAGCCTTATGCAGGAATAAAACTTTAAACCTCTTTTTCTCAGTTTCAACTTAATGTGGATTGGTTCCTTTCTGATGATCTCTGTCCAGTTAATGTGCTCTATGGGGAGGACATAGAGTGCTTCAAGGGAGGGCTTGTCAAAAAGTCTGCAACGGTCTATCAAGTTGCATGTTAGGCGACCTGACAAGCAGTTCGGCATGCTGAGTGAATGTGCCTCAAGAGTCAATATGCAAAATCCTTATTTACTTTCAAACTTCCTACCAACAAATGCAACTGAGCAGTAAATTTTGGTTGCTTGAATAGGGAAATAGCATACCTTCTTTCCTTTTAAGTTGGTTTAACCCAGTCTTTCTGCAACGTTATCAGAGAAACAAAAGTCAAAATAGCGAAAATCTCCATTTTTTAAAAAAAAAATTTCATCTCTTGCATCTACCCGAGATTTCAGTCGTAATAATGAAGTTCTACCTTTGAACTTCGCTCTATTTTTGAAGAAAAATTATTGAGAATAAGAAATAAGATTGATAAGTACTTATCAATCTAAGATCTTGGTAAGTACTTATCAATTCCAAAATGAAAGAATTCTGAATCTTATCATAGATTTTTTTTTGTTACGAGCAGCATGGATGTTTTTAACTTCGCTTTATTGTTAATTTGTAAGATAAAAAACTAGTTTAAAATCAATTTAAATTGTTCCTGTGCTATTATATTATAGTATGTATGATGTTTTAATTTTTTATTGTAACAATCATCTTTTAAGTAATATATTTGTTAATTTTTCATTCCATTCTTTTCAAATTCATTCTGCAACTTGCTCAAGATTATATGACAATCGACCAACTCAAAACATTCTGTTGCCGACCATTTGAAGTGCGTTTGCCACTAAGGAGCTAATTTTTATGGTGTAATTCAGGAATGACATATTGATAGCTGCAATCCGAAACAACGTACCTTGTGATTCAAAATTCCTGCTTACATTTCACTTTTTCGAAGAAAAACAAGTCACATTTATAGCTTGAAATTTCAAATTTACATAGAATACTCTGCTAACAAGAAGATGGGTCCCTAGACAGGGGCCCATTAATTAAAGCTGTGTGTATCATGTATTCTCTTCAAAATTTCATGAAAAAAACGAACCATACAAGGGGAGTTCTGGAAATTGACTCCTAAACAAGATATTAGTGTTTACAATTACCACCGGTTCAATGGAAAAAATACACATGACGTCATTTGTATAGTCTAACTTCCATTTGAATCGAGTTGAAAATATTCGTAAATATATTGTTTAGGATCTGACATCCGAACTTCCTGCTGCATAAATCGTGTTTTACGCAAAATTTAGAAGAGAAATCATCCGTTTTTCTCTTGTAGTTTAGATCTTGTCTAGTAGCCCACTACATTACCTAGTTTTCCCTAGAAAATATAAAGTTTAGCAGGAAGTTTGTAAAGTGGCAAACAAAAATATGTGGCTTCGTACTTTGGCTATTGAAGTCTAATTGTCTACGTTCATCTTCATTTCGTGACATTTGCACTTTTAAGTAGTCTAAGTAACCAAAATGATTTTCAGTTTTATTTGCATTTTTGGCATTTTATTTGGCAAGAGAGGGAATGCAAGGTGCCCCAAAAGGAAAGAATGATATGCCTCCCTGTAATTGATGTCCAATGTGTAATGATGTCCAATCGTAGAGTTACGACTCCTAGAAGGGCAAGAGTCAGTTATCTTTGCTCTCATTCTTGAAATCCCTCTTGTTAGGTTAGGTAACGTTAGAGCCTCACTTGGCTTACGGCTTTGAGTTCAAGAAAGAATGTTCCTATGGAGTAATCATAAGTTTTATCTGCTTTTACCCAGTGACCCTAGCTTCACCAGTTGTTTCAAAGTTCCGAGAAACCGGTCCCAAGCTTGCCTAGAAAAAATGCCTTGTGTTTGGGGAGAAACTACCCGTTACTTTCCTGGCTGATTATTTATCTATTATTTTATTAATTAATTTATTAGGTTTAGATAATTATATTCAGAGATGGATACCTAAATTTCTTAGTATCATGTTTTACTTTAAAGTTTTAGTGTCACATGAAAAATTCAAGCAGAAGTCAAGCAGATAAATTTTTTGTTTTCCCCCTAAAAATTCTTAGCTGCATTTTCACAGTTGAGAAGTATCCTTCGGGTAATTTGTCTCTTACAAAAGTCTCCTACACGTGAAAGCTTTACTTCCATAGGTTATCTGGAATATGATGGGTTTTTTTGGAGGAAAAAAGTAGTTACCGTCATCGTTCAACTAAAGTTAAAAGAAAGAAAATAAAGAGAGAAGAAAAAAAAAACATACTTATGTAGGAAAAAATATCGCTTATATTTAAAAGATTATTTGACAAATGCCTTAATTACGCAAAAAGTTTATAATAAATCTAGAGAATCAATGTACAAATGATTACTTTGAAATTTTTTTAAACTCGTAAACTTAATTAAAAATATATCACAAGAAATACTTACAAATCACGATCATAGTTTTTCACCCATATGAATATCTACATGATAGTAGTCAACATTTTCTAAAATTTATGACAATTTGTTCAACTTGTTCCTAACATTTTTCATTCGCTCGATTAGAGCTCGTGCTTCTGGTCTGGTGTACAGAATTGCTAGACAGCTAGAGATCAAATCTTGGAGCTTGACAAAACAAGCGCTGTACATTGAGTCCTTGTGCGAGACTTGGAAGAACGTTTCGCCTAAACTTGTTATAACTTCCATTAGATGGAATTCATTGCCTTCCCTATCCCAACACCAGTCTCCAGACGTGTAGAGCTCTTGGTAGACATCTAACAACATGGGGTAACTGACTCCAATTTTTTGTAAGAACACCGAGTAGACACAATCAGCGGGAGCTTTGAAGCGGCAGCTCAGGACCTCCAACTGTCCGATCAGGAAGTCTAAGGGGAAGCACGGTGAAGGAATAGTATGTACACGAGATAGACTTTGAACCTTCTGTAAGACGGCCTTGAGTTTTTCAGTGCCAGAAGATGATGTGCATGCGTTCAATGTTTCATCAAGAAGTTTGCTCCAAACCTGAAATATAACAATATACATTACTGTCATTTTAAGTGGAAAGAATTTCCAAGTTCAGGAATATGTATGACTTATTCCATTTTTCTAGGGAGGTAAATATTTGCACAGAAGATGCACCTAATTTTTTCTTTGAATTTTGAATAGGAAGTAGCGCTCAAGAGAAGTGGAAAGGAGGGGTATCGATAAAGGCCGTTTTTGGGCTCACCTTCACTGAATTTCTCATCTCTACGATTTTTTGCTCATTGAGGGTCTATCTTTGAGGGAATGCATCACGATTTGGTAATTTTTGATCTCTTTTCAGGTTTAGTACTGGCTCAAACATGGGTATAAAGGCCGATGCGAGCTTGCTTTTGAATGTAAAAAAATCTGCGATATTAGCCAAAATCTGCCTTTGGACCCATATTTGGGCCACTGTCAGACCTTTAGATTGGCCAAAATCTGCCTACAGACCCATATTTAGGCCCCTATCAGACCTTAAGGTAGACCAAAAATGACCAAATCATTACGTATTCTGTAAAAGATAGACCTTCAATGACCGAAAAATCGTAGAATTGAGGAACTTCAGGATGTGTCCTCTAACGGCCCTTATCATACTTCTGCTTGCCGATTTCGATTAACTGTTACAAACAGATTTGACTGAACCTTTTTTTACATCTAATGAAGAAAACAATTTTAAGATAACTAATTAAAATTCAAGACTGAACAATTTAAAGATAAAGCCCCTTGAAAAGACAATTCAGGAATTTACCTTGATTCTGAATAAATCATCTAAATAAAGATGCCCACCCCAAAAGCCAATGAAAAGGCAGTTTAGTTCAGGAAGGTTGTTAATTACCTCACGAACAAGTTCCATGCTTTGGTGTCCTGACATGTCGATTATGGCAAGTTGGCTCTCCCACAATTCAAACGGTACGGCATATTCTAAGTACAGCTCTGTGGCAGAGTACAGTTTGTTCTGGAGCTGTATGGCCGCTGCCTCTGCATTTGGGTGTTGATTCGCCAAGGCTACTATCTGATCAAACATGTATCGCTGCACCTGGGCCACCTAAAGACAACAATTCATGATATTAGGAAGATGAAAGCTTGTTACCCTCTTAATGAGATCAATTATAGCAAAGGGTAGCTTGCAAGAAATCTTCTGCTAATCTTCAAAAATTTTTTTACTGTTCTGATGCTGAAAGAGATATGACTACTCATTAATTATTTTGGAATTGGTGATGACTTAAGCTAACTGAACCAAAACAAAATTCAAACCATGAGCCTCTACAATTTAGTTAGCATCTCCTTCAGTAAAATAAAAAGTAAAAGTCGCATTTAAAAAGCATGAAACCAAAAATAAAGTTGTTCGCTTTTGTTATTGAAAAAAAGGTTGAGAATCGCTGAATTGAATAAATCGAAGACCAGAGGTCATGTTCTCTTCCCACAATGCGCCATTAAAATAAGAAATAAAAAATAAAAGCTGAAAAAGGGAAATATGCGGACAAAATTGTGATCATCTTCAGGAGAAACCTCAGTGCCAAAACGCTCAAAATTGAGTCACTAATCGCGTTTCATAGGAATATTGTACAAAAATTTGTATACAAAGAATACTCTTGAAAATTTTGGACCGTTCAAAGGTTAAAAAAAAGACGTTGAAGATGGAAATGGATTTATTTTACAAACCTGCATCAGATCTTCAATTTCATGGGCGTATTCAGTACGGTGGAATGGATCACTGCGAACACAGACAAGAGCGTGGCCAAGGAACGAAAGTCGCTCTTCAAGCGAGATATTGCTCCCAACCTCAGTGGCCAAAGAGTAGAGGATCTTGGTAGCGGCAACATGGTTTTTCTGACGTTCATAGTACCTCCAGAGAAGGTCACGGGCTCCATTTTTCTTCAGGAACCGTTCAACAGTGGGTGGACTCAACTCAACCAAATGGTTCTGCAGTTGCTGTTGAATCATCCATTCGTATAAAGCTACATGAAGTAATTCATCATCTGTTGATAGCGCTTTTTGCAACAAAACCTCACCAACATTCGGAGCCTCTATTTCTTCCTGGTAGGTTTGACTACTTGACAACTGGGATCTATTAAGCGATTGATTGATGTAACTATTCGTTTTTGGTAGCCTGCTAGCATCGGTTGAGGATCCAGGGGAAGTGAGAGGTTGATTCTGAGAGAAAAGCTGCGTAAGAACTTCAATTATTTCTTTGTAACACTCCATTCGTTTATTGTAAAACTGATACGCGTCAGAATCACTTCCATATTCACTGCCATAGTAATAATTAATCGCAAAGTTTCTAGGATCATATTTTGATGCACATGATAAGCTTATTATCAGAACTGCTTCATAAAATTCAAAAGCTGCAAACTTGCGGCAGATAGTGCTCAAACAGATATTTGGAGCTGCTTCAATACACAATTGTAAAGCTGAAGTTAAATACTTCTGTTTGTCTTCAGGATTCACAGCACTCTTTGCTGTAAGAAGCATTTCGTTTGCCTTGGCGTAAGATGCATCATCATCTCGGAATATGAGTGGGCACACACCTCGTAGTTTGCAACTAATAGAGTCTACAGTGGAGTCATCTTTAAGATACAGATTGAGAAGCGTGTTGACCAAAGTAATGCACAGCTCGTGTTTCGAAACGAGCAATTGCTTTAAAGTGATATCAACTAATAATCTTTGATTTTCTGGACTAAGTTCAGCAACAAGTTGATGGAATTGGTGCTCACATAGAACCTTCCATAGACCTACGATTTGACAAGCATGATCTACAACAACTTTCAGTGCCTCTAAAGAGCGATTTTCTAATCGATGAACTTTTTCTGCTTTGGTCACCGCCATAGAGTTGATGGTGCTTTCTTCCATGTTCATTGAAGGTAAACGGCTCATTACAGCTGGTCCAGCAAAAGACTGAATGAGTATGCTATTCTTCTCAAGAAAGGACCAAAATGCTTGCAAGTTAGAAAGCACAGAAACACACTCTTCAGCGCTTACAGTTGAAGTTAAATATTGCTTATTATCCTGATTTTTTGTTAATTTTACAAGAGGGCTTTGCCAAAGGGGTCTGAGAATGCGAGACAAGTATAAGTAGAGACCATTGTGCTTTGCTGAGTGTTCGTAAATTATGTTTTCAGTGCTTGAAACAAGGGTTTCAGACAGGATGTTCGGTCGAGTTTGGGCGATCGGTGTGGAGACTATGCCAGGTCTAAAGTTGGTTGCTGAAAAACACAAAATGAGATATATTAATATAAAGGGGGCAGATGTAGTCTAATCAAGCATTGAACTGGAGGATGGTCGGAGTATTCAGGACTGTGAAGAGTATAAATATCTAGGAGTGTGGTTAACAAAGGACGGCAATTTGGATCGGGCTATTAAAGATCGGAATGTGCAAGGCAGGAAAGCTATCGCAATGCTAAATGGGGTTCTCTGAGACCAGAGAATTTCTAAGGAGACTAAAAGAAAAATTTACGACGTCATCGTGAAGAGTATCGTAACTTACGGGAGTGAGGTCTGGCAACTGAAGAAAAGGACTGAAGACATGCTTAGGGCAACTGAGATGGACTTTTGGCGGAGGTCTGCTGGCATCTCAAGAAGAGAGCATATCTACAATGTAAAAGTGCGCGAGATAATGGGTGTGGAGAATGACATTGTGCATGATATCAGGTCCAAGCAGTTGGTCTGGTATGGACATGTGCGAAGGATAGCAGACGATCGGTTGCCCAAGCAGGTTTTTGATTGGGCTCCTCCCGGAAGGCGATGGCGTAGACGTCCTGTAAAAGGTTGGCAACAGGGAGTGAAGGAGGAGATCAGAAGGTGCCAATTGCCTGATGGTCTCTGGGAGGATAGGGGGCAATGGCGATTGGGCGTCGCAGAACGCGCGAGGCTGCACTATAAAAGCGGCTTAATGTATGTAGATATAATCTAAAAATTAGGCCTGTTTTAAGTTGTCCCTGTGCAGAGCTGCCACAGAATTTAGAAAATGAAATTCCTTGCCACTTTCCTGATTTCCCTGTCAAGAAGACATGATTTGAAATAATTTTCAGGCGAAATTTGTAGTTTAAAACGTCAAACCTATTCTAGAAAACAAACAAAGATGACCTAGCCATTTTCCCTGACACTTATGTCATTTTTCTTAACATTTCCAGGTATTCCCTGAGGGTGGTACCCTGTGTGAGCGGTAGCTCATACTAATGTTTTCTGACCTGGATGAAGGTAAGTGATGGGCTTGGAGAGACCAATGTAAAAAAAAAGCCACCAAGTTCGTTTTGTGTCATTCATGAATATCAAGTGGCACAAGCTGAGAGCAAGTGATGAAAGAGAGTCTTCTTACTTTGAAAAGAGCTCTGAGGGGCTGTGACTGAAAGCATCTCAGCTGGAGTCAAATTGTTGTCAGCCACTTCTTTTGGTTCACCACCATATAGGAATAGAGCTTGCGTGGCCCAATTTGCAAGCTGCAAAAATGAAAAAATTAATCAATCACAAATTGAGCATTTTCCTTAATAAGTTTTATTTTGGTTAGTGAGAAGGTACGCTACAGACAGAAGATCTGCATCTTCATAATTAGTCAATCACCAACACTCTAATGAGTTTTTTTTAGCTCCAAGTAAACAGACTTCATTGCAACAAAAAGAACACATGCTTGACATTAATTTTAATATTGACTTTTAAGCTCTTCGTTTTTTCAATAGAAATTTAAATTATGTATTCAAAACCTTCAATCCGAAAAACATGAGAGCTTCAGAGATGTTAGTTGAAAATTGGGTATAATATTTTTTCAATCATAGTTTGTATGATTTTCTTTACATTGGAATGTTGCGAACACTGGGGGTGCAATGCACAATGCATTTCAAGAGAAAAACTGGGGGTCAGAACAAACCCATGCTAAGACTCTACCGTCTATTACCGCATTATCTCTGAGTTTGATTGGATCCTGTATCCTATTCCTATTGAAGCTAAAAGCAGGTTGTATATGAACACCGGTGTGTAAATTGATGAGAACGTTATGACGAGCATAGTACAATCTTGATGGACACTTTTGGTCTGAGCGGCAGCCATGCCTTGGCTTGACTACCTTCTCTTCTCTAGCGTTTGCCACTGCCTCGGGCAATGGGCCTGTTGCAAACGTTTGCTAGAGCAAAAATAAGGGATGTTCCTTGAATATAGTGTCTCAAAAATTACGATGAGCACATCGGCAAACTCTGAAATGCACTCCTAACTTCACATTCTACGTAGATATTTGCGTTTTTTAAAATTTTCACTTCAAAAAGGATACTACAGCACAGGTGAAAATTTCGTCAGAGGAGTTGTTCCATTTAATCCCTGCTCAGTGGCCGACGCTTTCGGGCGCAAGTTGAGGAGAGCACAAGGTCAGTTAAGGCGGATATCTATCAGCGCAAGAAAAATGTGAATGTAAATATGCTGATTGTTATCAGGTGGTTAGAATCATCGTCCCATCACATGTGTTCTGGCAGATTAGCATTGGCTATGTTGAATATTACGTAGTATCCTTGTGAGCAGAGGTTGAATGGAATGACTCCTCTAACGAAATGTTCACCTGTGCCATGGTATCGTTTTTGAGGCGGGAAGCTCGAAAAAACGCAAATTTCTTACGCAAATTTCTTGCGCAAATTGTGAAGTAAGGAGTGCATTTCAGACTTTGCCAATGCGCTCATCAAGATTTTAAAGACATTTTCTATGAGTAGAAACTCTTATTTTTGCTCTAGATAAAGTTTGCAGCAGGTCCATTCATCCTTGATGACACACTGGGCAAACACCGAACAAGAAACCCGAAAATTGCTTCTTTTTTCTAATCATTATGGCCACTGTCACAATAGCTTCCTAGTTTTTAGACAAAGATTCACTTTAGGGTGTCCGTAGACTTCCAAAAAAAGGACTCCCCAGCTTAAACAGATTTTTTTCTAATCAACATGACATGATTTCATGAAAATAGTCAGATTTCTAAAGTTGGGTTTTCAATTTAGCACAAAAATCTTAGGGTCTTTTGCAAAGTTACAATTTACAGTATTCTGAAATCTTAGATCCCATGACTTTAAAAACTTGTACGCTCGAAAAAAAATCAAACAAGAGGGAAAAATTCTTGAGTTCATCAAGAAATTCCTCACCCTTTGACCAGTAAATTTTTTAGACCTGCATTTTCTAAGTTTTCCAGTTTCCTAGGCACTGAGGATACTCTGATTTTGCCTACAATTTTGATCACCTTGCTATGCAGATACTAAAAGAATCGATAACACAAGATACGGTATAGATAACTTACATCCACATTTGAGGTGCATTGTTGGCAAGCAATGGAAATACACAGCGCACATGATTCATCATCCGTCATATTCTGGAAAAATGCTCGTACAGCATCTGCATTCGGTCCTTTGTTTTTCCACAGTAATTGAGCCAAAACTTCCACCGGCCGCAGCTTAGAGAATAGTTGTATACCCTGTGATAAATATATAATTGGTAAAAGTGAGGAATACGAGCTCAAAAGAGACACTTGATCGACAGCCCACAGAACCGCTGGACAGATGAACATTTAAGTACCAGAACACATGATCCCTTGTGCAAATTTCACATAGAAGATGGACGCTTCAAAAATTCTCACATTTAACTCTTAAATGAGAAATTGACATTTGTGTCAGGATCTGTGAGAAAGGACCCTATCTTTTACCGGATAATTTCCCATAACTTTTTACAAAAACTAGAACCACATTTTTCTAAGACCCAATAACTTATCTCTTGGAACTACAAGACTCATACCTTCTTCACTATTAGAGCTACAAGAGTCAAACGAGCGCTAAAAGTTTCAGATTTTCCTCCTACATGCTCTTGCAATTTTATGATTTCATCAATTCAAACTTCCTACTTGCTAAAAAACCTAAGTTGACTTGAATCAAATTGGGAACTAAAATAATTTCAGAGTTCTTCAAAATGGAACATTTTTCTTAGTGAGTTGAAAAATCTGATGAAAGTGAATTTTTCCAATCTGCATGTACATTTTTACGCTGCTAGAAATTTCACATTTTGGGCAATTGACTGACTTAAAGATTAATGTCGTAATCAAATTGAAGTCTCACATTTATTACTTTTTTTAATTGGAAGTGTAAACTTTTCTTTGGTATTTTAAGTTATTTATCGCAGCAATTTATCATAGCGACAGAGAGAATCTAAAACATAAGGTTAATGCTGGGACAAAGGAGAAAAGAAGAATAGAAGGCAAAATAATACAGTCTTACAAACTGTACAATTTGACAACACTAAATATCAACTCCCCCTCCACCTTACTTAAGGATTAAATTTCAAGATTTCTCAAATTTCTTGTATTTCTCATGAAACTCCTAAACTTTACTCTGATTTTCCTGACCTGATAAAATTCTCAGATGATGGACCACGGGCCTAGGTGCTAATAAAGCATTCTGTGACATATTTCCTGATCAAACTTTCACATAAAACACAGTTGCTGCGACAAAATTTACTGAAATCAACTCAAACTGAGATATGAATTTAACATTTTTGACATTTAAATTCTAATCTTCCTTTCAAAATAGAAAAGTCTAATTGGGTCGGATTCTACACTAAACGTTACCGTAACAGTTTCTGCAGTATGAAAATATGGCAACCTCAATTTTGTTATTTCAACTCAACTGTTGCTTGTTGTTAACACTATGAACAACACAAGGCAGGAATCTTGCTTAATTAGGAAGTCTGCCAAAACCGTTGTAATGCGTAATTTGATTCAAGAGGTGAATCGTGTTTGATGTGAAATTTTGAAGCAGCAACATGTATCAGAGTGCTTAAATTCACACCTCTTTGAATGGTCCATTCTTGGTTTTCCAGAAATGTAGACACCCTGCAAGCAAGTGCAATATTAATACACACAATACACTTGCAAGTTAAATTTATACCTGTGCAGACAGAGAGACAAAGTTGGCTGCATTGCTGTTGGTCATTTCATCGGCGCAAGAGAATTGCCACACTGGACCATCTAGCTTCACGGTAGCCTGAGCTTCAATTGGAGCATCGAAGGCGAGGTATTCTTCACTGCTTAGACACCAAAGATTGTCTTGACTTTCATTGACCGTGCTTAGTGCCATGAAAATACCTGCAAGAAGGGGCTGAGTGTATAGAACCAAATATCATGGAATGTGAAAATCTACAGGAAAAGAGACCTTACCGCCTGAGATAATATTATTTAAGAGGGTGATGGTGATGAGGTTGGTTCAGAATTTCACTATTAGCACATCCGATGAAAAAATTAAGAGCTTCTTCAGATTTCAGGGTAGACAATTTTTCAACTTTTATCCATGTTTTCCCCACTTGGAAAGAGAAAAATTTCCTGACTTATCCCATCAAGGATATACTGACAGTGAAGAAAAATCAAGTCCGTTTCCAAGAAATTACAGTGACCAGTTTTAAAAAAAACAAATAAAGTATGACAGGAAGTTTGCTACATCGTAAACAGAGATATGTGGTTTCGCACTTTTGCCATTGATACGTACCATTACTTGTAGAACTGACTCCGAAGTTCTATGTTTTGAGGACTGTGAAAACTCTTAAGAGAAATATCTATCAAGGCGAAAAGATTCCAGTCTTTTTCATTATATTCACCAATTTTTTTTGGAAAATTAATTTTATCTAGCTTTTTTTGGTTTTCTAACACCACAACATCTTGGAGTCAAACTTGAGATCGTGCTAGTTAATTAATTAAGACAATTATGATTGATTCATTGCAGGAATAATTTTCAAGAGTGACCAGTGCAGTCTCAATTTTTTCTGCAGTAATTTCATTGACATACATATTCTGTTTTAAAAAAAAAACCTTGTTTGTTTGCCTTGAGAAACACGGAAGACTTCTTACATAGGACTGAACTTTTATCATTGATGCTATTATTTCCAAAATTTCAAATAAGATTTACCGTTGTTGTAGTAGGCTTGGCGAACATCGTTTGGTCTCACAGAAACAACACTCCCGATGAAACCTGGTGGCAATCGCACATGGATCAATTTCAGATCGGAGACCTCCCCTTGCATGTAAATTAATTGAAAGTAAAATCTAACACCAGCTTGAGTTACCGCCAAAAGGCCAACGTTCTTAGATTCTTTTTCTTCTACTGCACAAATTGATACGATGCTGCAAAGTTCTACTCTGTCCATAGTCCTGTAGGAAAAAATATTTACTCGTGAGTTGAATGGTTATCTTAAAAATTTATGAATTAGTTGCTTAAATTTCAGGGACAGATTCGATTGAAGGATCAGTATTTGAAGGCTGAACGTAGTGGTTTTGGAATATTTACATACTACGACCGATGGATAACTAGGCATCAGAAGAACGTGGCTTGCATTCTTCTCAAAATAAAAATTGCATTACACAAAGGAAATCTTTTTAGAGCAAAACCTCAATAGAACAAACTTTGATTTAAAAACCTTTTCCACATAAGGACGAAATCAGTTGGTTTGGTGAAACACCCTTTGCTAATACTGTATTTTTCTTTTGAAATAATATTATTACCTGGATTTGATTCAATGATGATTTTATACACCCATATATAAAAGAAAAAAAAGCTTTTTTTCACAGAAAACAAAGAAAATATTCCAGTACCGATCTTGTAACATTGATATTAGAGATTAAACAAGGTGCTATTATGTGTGTTAAAGACAACTTTTAACCTCAACCTTGGTGACTGAAATGTTATTCCGCAGATTAATTGTAGATAGCTTGATTTTCAAAAAACAACTGATATACACAAACGATTCTTAAGACTTCCAAGAACAAGTTACACACTTGATTTTGAGGCTTCTAAAAACAAACAAAAATTCCTGGAGGATTGCATAGCATTCCTTCAACTTTTCAAATATAATGTACAGCGTATGAGGAAAGAAAGTGCGTCCGTGGCACTGTAGTAGCTCCTTATCTCTGAAATCGGCTACAATGGGTGTCGACTGAGTTTCTGGTGTAGAATCTTCAGATCTAATAACAACACAGAGTTGGAGTTTTGCACCTCAGTCTGATAGGCTGACAAACTCACTCTTTCAAGGAACCATGGTGGTCCTGAAATTTACACGTAACTAATTTGAATGGACCAACGTTACATCTAATGCTTTGATAACTTTGAAAACAAGTTTAGCCAATGTTCGTCTGCCTTAGCCTTAGGGTCTACCTGGATGCTGTTCTATCATTACTACTGCGGTGTTGCCAGGCGGACATGCCTACATTCCCGACTTTCTTGTGCGTTCATGTCATATTCATACAATTTCATGCAGCTTAATGATTTTTTTAAACCAATTTTGTTGGTCAACAAACTGACCTGTGCGTCTACCGCAATCAGTTTGTGCATAACTAACCACTTTTTTTTTAATAGTACCCACATCAGATTCAGCAAGAAACAGTTATGTACACTGGTCAGGATGCATTACATTACTATAAGCAGGGAAAGGAATCTTGAGCATCGTTCATTACGTTCTTCAACAAGTTTTTTTTCAACAGCGATCTTAAAATAATGACGATTTTGGCTGGTCAGCTGACATTCATCATTACATAAGGGTTTTACTGCATCAGAGTCTCTATTTATAGGGACCCTTAATTAGAAATTCTGAAAAGAGGAGTTTTGAGTAGTTTTTACAACTGTTCCATATTGGCACCTTTTATTTATCATGGGATATATGTACTTCAAATTTTTAAGTTGCCTTAGGTAACAAATACATTACTGACGGCAAACAATTGCAGATGAATCTTTCTTCATAAATCCCAATTTATAAATCAGAATTCTTATGCTTAGAAGTAATCAGTTACTAATTGGGGATGCTGAGAGATATCTTAAAAAATGGTATTATTGAATTGGTAATAAAAAAGGTGTTGAACGACTGACCTGATACATCTGATCGCTGATTCAATTACAGCATGTTGCGGTAAACTAGCTTTGCAAGTTGCTGTGGAATCTGAGCTGAGGATATACATATCGATGGTCCCTTTCTCTGATAATGTGTAGAGGATTTTGCGACTGTTATCGATTGAGATCTGCGATATTGAGTCTGACTTTTGGAGCAAAGATGATATAACTGATGGGAGCAAGAATGAAAGAGTTGTTCCTGAATGGTTGACTTTACTGCACCGTTTTCCCCACCAGTCCAGTTCTTTCTGCAAAAGAAAAATAGAAAAAAAATAGAAAAAAAAGGACAGTTCATTGGTTTAATGATACATTGATAAGCACCAGTATAAAGTAACACTTCTTATCTTTTCCTTGACGTTTTTCACCCTTGAGATACGGACTCAAAATCGCTGATTTTCAGCTGAACAAAACTGTATTGTCGAGGAAAAATAGATCTAGGGGATTAAAGCTGCGTGTAACTTGTAATGGGCCTGTTGCAAACTTTTGCTAGAGCAAAAATAAGAGTTGTTTCTTATAGATAATGCCTCAAAAATCACGATGAGCGCATCGGCAAAGTCTGAAATGCACTCATAACTTCACAATCTGCGTAAGAAATTTGCGTTTTTTTAAGCTTCCCGCTTCAAAAACGATACTACGGCATAGGTGAACATTTTGTTAGAGGAGTCGCTCCATCGTCGGCGATATTCATCATGGCCGACGCTTGCACGCAGTTCCGCGCGTAATTCAAGGAGAGTTCAAGGTCAATCAATTCGGGCGTGGAAAATATGAACGTTAACACACCGATTGTTATCTGGTCTAATCCAGTTCAGGTGTTATCTCGTCCCATCAAACGTGTTTTGGCGGATTGGCGTCGGCTATGATGATTATTGCCGACAATGGAACGACTCCTCTTACAAAATGTTCACCTGCGCCGTAGTATCGTTTTTGAAGCGGGAAGCTCAAAAAACCGCAAATTTCTTACGCAGTTTGTGAAGTTATGAGTGCATTTCAGAGTTTGCCGATGCGCTCATCGTGATTTTTGAGGCATTATCTATAAGAAACAACTCTTAGTTTTGCTCTAGCAAAAGTTTGCGACAGGCCCATTTGAGACCAAAGTGGACAATCAGAGAGATTTCCCACCTTGAACTCCTAAAATAATTGCTTATTTGCAAATGTAAGCTTTAAACTTACAATAGTATCTCAATTATCCACTGCTTTCCAGTTATCTGGCACAGTCAAAATTAATTTTTTGGTCAAAACAAGTTAGTTGAATGAAAGTTTTGAATGAAGTTCTGTCCAAACAGTTGAAAATTAATAATTACCCGTAGTTTTAATAATTATTTCAGGCACATTTTTAGAGCGTTTTGCACATATGCAAGATAGATGAAGCTTTTCAACAATTTTGGCATCCTGAGTGCTTCTGTACAGCTGGAAACTATGGTGGAGTTGGAAAACTACTCTCTCTCTCTCTCTAACTCGTAGCTGCATAAGAGGGGCCCAAAATGGCTGAAAAACGCGTTTTCCGCAGTTCTACCTCAGATTACGACCCGCGCCCAAAGGTGAAAGGTCATCAGCTTCAAATATGATTTGAGGGGCACCTGGAAACGTAACGTACTGGGATATAATCAACCGTTGCCTTTGGGCCCAATCATATTACGACTCAGTGAAAAAACTGAAATGGATCATTAAAAGAGCGCAATAATTGGCGGTTTTTAACGAGGGCTTAGAGTTGAAGGTTGATAATATTCCAGTATGTTACATGTCTGGATGTCCCTCACATCATGTTTAAAGCTCATAACCCGTTTCCTTTGGGCCCAGGTCGCAATCTGAGGTAGAATTGTGGAAAACATGGATTTTCAGCTATTTAGGGCTAAAAAGTTAGAAAAGGTTGAATTTGAACTTAGGCCCAAAGGCAACGGTTGATCATATTCCAGTATGTTACGTGTCTGGGTGTCCCTCACATCAGATTTGAAGTTTATGACTCTTCACCTTTGGGCCAAGGTTGAAATCTGAGGTGGAACCGCAAAAAACGTGTTTTTGAGATATTCTGGGCTTCAGAGCCATGATTAGGCCCCTGTTTTGCAGCTAAAAAATGTGTGTATTGGCGAAAGTCGTCAATTCCTGTTAAGTAAGCATCGCCAACTGCCAAATATCTAAAAATTTCCCGATTCCATGGAGGGGCTGATTTTGGCTCAAATCGTAACCCTTCCTTTGCAGCTTCTACTAGACTTCGGACAAAATCTCCACTTTCAAAGTTTAACATTGTGGGCAACGGCACTTAGAAGGAGTTCACTTTCTCTTGAATGGCACCAGATAAAGTTGCTAAGCCGTCGTACTTCTCGCAAAATTTCCTGGCTTTTCCAAATCACTGTCAATTCCCCGACTTTTCAGATTTCTTACACTGCCAGAGACCGTGGTTTTGCAATGCTGATTTGAACTTACGAACTCTGGCACTTTCCGTACAAAACATTAAAAAGGGATGAAATCTTACCCTATACTGAATTTCGTACAAATTTCCATCTTCTCCACCTAGAAAGATTCGACCATTTGCTGACCCAGCTATAGCCGTGATGTTAACACCATCAGTTGGCAGTTGGAACACAACTTCTGGAGTGAAATGGATTTCATTGATTAAATTTGAAACAGCTGAAAGGAAAATTAAAGGTATGAAAAACATGAGATACTTTTTAAATTACATATATAAAAGATAAATTAATGATGTTCTGGAGGTGAAGCTTACAAAGAAGTGAGGAATTCTTAAAAAGTGTCTCATTTCAGTCGTAAACGTTTATTTTTGTAAAATAAGTGATGAAAAATCTCTCATTTCACCTAATCTAGTGAAAAGCTTCATTTTCAGGTTTTGCTGCTTAAAATATCAAAACCGTCACTGTCATGCTTGTTAGGTTCAATGTTTACAGCCTCAAAACGTTTTTTCTGTCTGATGAATTGTTCCAATTTTTGTACTAATTTCATCAATAATAATTGTAGTTGAATATACAATGTAGTTGATTTAAGAGAAGTGCGTTTTCCAATCAAAATATTTCGAAAATATGCTATCATTAAGTTACGACATCAAGACTGTCACAGATGTTTTTGTTTGTCAAAACGGCCGCTAGGGGCAAACAAAATCGCTACTAAACGTTCCATTCCCTATTAACAAGGTGGAGAAATGGTGCTGGGTCCACACCATTTTGTGGGGAAATCAAAGCCAAGAATCAAAGCCATTCAGTTGAGTGAAGTATTCACATCAAAATATAATCGTACAGCAGTCACTGCCGAAATTTAGAAGATTTTGGAAGGACTTAAAAGGTAAATTTACTCCATCAGACTGTTTTGTGTGTCACAACTGTTACGCCTTTTATTTTTGATATTCTGAAAAATATTTGTACCCACTTTATAGCCCTTACTACCAGTTGCTCGTATACCAACTTTTGAGATTGCGCTTCATTGCTGTTGAGTATACCTGCCACTTTTGTTTAAACTTAACACGACTGTCACACTGTATAGGATATTTTGTGTTTAAAAAGAAGCGGGGGAAATGCCTGGTAAAAAAAGGTACCGTATTAGATTTTTGAGCCTGATACTATAGTAAACCAGGAAAAAAACCCTACAACCAAAATAATTGAGTTGAATTTTTAGTTTAAAGGAGGTCGAATTGGACAGTTTTCGTGGAATTGTCAAAGTGCAATTTTGTCTAAGGTTTCCTATTGCAGCATCATTTTTTTGTACACTACTTTACCAGAATTTTGGTAAATAAACGTATGCACCAATCTTAATCTTATCTTTCACAGAAATTTTTAGGTATTCGAGACTCACCGTTAAATAATAATACAAAAATGAAGCTAAAAAATTCTAAAAATTCTAATAAAAGTCACAAAATAAGCTCTAGTGTGTATCAGTGCAAAATTGAGGGAGAGAGTGTTTAGTATTTGGTGTTAGCATTTAAACACATCTGTCCGAGTCTAGCACTTCCCCCCCCTTCCCCCACCAGTTTTGCACTGATATTCATTAAAGCTCATTTTGTAACTCCACTTGTAATTTTTTGAATTGTTTTGGCTTTGATTTTCTTGCAGAATAGTGCGGATCTAGCATTACTCTTCCATCCTGTTACATGCAGTTTTCGTACCAAATGTTTTGTTTTGTTCTAATCAAAATAAGTAAACCTGTTGTAAATATTTAACTTAAGAAATATGTATATAATTATCACTTACAATCTGTTGGCACGGACAGTGTTACTCCTAAAACGACAATGTCTACAGTGGTGGCCAGAACAAGGAGGTGAGTGATGAATTCTTTGAAGACATTTGGTTTTGGTTTCACTAATCCAACGCACATGATTGTTTCGCTGAGACCATCATAAAATGCCAGGTCAGCACTGAAAGGAATCAAACAACCATGTTTGATGATTTGAGAAAGGGGAAATGAAGTTAGAGCAAGTAACAAGACTAAAAAAATTGAGGTCTCTGGAGTGAGTGCACACTTAGAAATTGGTCAATGATAATTAAAATCCATTGATTCATCATTTAGTTTTATTTGCGGTATTTGTTAGCAAAAATGCAATTTGTCCTCTCAAAAAATAAGTTACAAGCAACGCTGAGTTGTGGAGAGTTGAACACGAGAGTTGATTCAAAAATAAATCCCTTCATTCTTACTGATTTAACGACCTTCCACAACTAGAGCAGCAGACACACCTTCACTCTTGACAACTCAGTCAAATACAAAATTTCGAAGAATGGTATTAAGTTTCTTTCCATTCACCTGTTCAATTTTTTTTTTTTTTTTCACTTTTGAAATCACCTCTTTTGGCCAACAATTTTTTCAAGATCTCACTGATTTTTCCCTCTCAGTTTACCATCCTGACTCAATGTTCTTTCATTTTTCTTTGGTACCGTTTACTCGCTGATATCAGTCTCCGATTCCTAATTTGCTGTTACTTCTTCCACTCTGTAACAACTTCTTAAATTTTACCTTCTTCTATTTATCTTATAAATGAGTGTGCTTTTTTTCTTTTTGTAACCAAGTGCTACACTGCTGACTAGTACAATAGCCCCTTGCGGAGGCTTTATGTAAGCATTGCTAAATAAATAAATAAAAAAAAAAATTCTATCTGCACAACTGATACAGCAAGAGCAAATCAGTCAAAAAAAACTTGTGGGTAGTATCATCAGGTTTTTTCATTGCACTCTAGTTATCTTTACATTAACTTATACCTCGCTTATCTTTTCCATGTATTGAGAATAACTTTTTGCACAAGCATTGGCTACTCTCACAACGCAATGATTTGACCTGCACAGCATGTAGGTGCACCTGGAGAAACTGCGATTTTTCAGAATCTTTGCTGCTAATTTTAAAAGACTTTAGATTTTTGGGAGCTTATGAATACCACCTACAAGTTTCTTTTCACAGATTTGCTCTGGCTGTAAACATTGCAGAGAAATAAAATAGGGGAATTATGGGAACTTAAGGAACAATCCAGGTAATTTCAATTTTTCTCATACTCATCATTACATCCATTTGAATCACCTATAATACGTTTAAAACTTACAAGACTTTTAATGAAACAGATCCATGGCAATGACTTACCCTTTGTAGTCCCAAATGTAAAAATCACTATCAACAGTAACCCAGACACGACTAAGCTCCGGAAAGACACCCATTAAATACTGACATTGGACCGCTACACAAGTTGTCAAGGAGATTAACTCACTACAATAGAAAATAATGTAATAGTAATTTTAGAAATACATCAAACAGCAAATTTGCCTCAATGTCTACTAAGAGAGCACTTTAGTTGATTTTTTGGTTCTTCTATCTTCAATTTTTCTGAAAATGAATCAGTTAGGAATGTAACGGAATCAAAATTTGATAATTGATACTATAGATGAATAGCTATGCTAAATATAATGTCATCAATCAATCAAAATACTACATCAATAATTGTGTTCAGCTTGCAAAAGCTTGTCCTAGCCATACTATTCATAGAGGAACTTGAAAAAATGTTGGGTGTGTACCATTGAGTTTCTTTCAAGGAATGGTCTAAAGAGAGCCAATTTGGTATTAAGTGTGTGCTCTTTCCATTCTACAAAATTGATGGGAATGACAAAACATAATGAGAGCACAGTGTTAGATACATTTCCAAAGAACAATCTGGCCAGAAAAAAAAAATAGAAATAGAAAGATGGACCCCTTCAGTATGCTACCGATGAACAACTTTAACCTCCTACGACAAGGTGATTTCACAATTTTTACAGTTCTGAGGTCATTTCAACTTTTCGCATTTTCATTTTACTTACTATCAAAAATTAAAAGATAAGAATAATCTCCCCTTTGCAACATAAAATATAACATGGAGCTCACCCAAAGGCGAGTCCTATAGGATGCCATTCTGTTGTGAACGGCCAATTACGCAACAACCTAATGTAGGATCCTCTTAAGCCCAGAGGATCCTTCCCTGGTACCTGGACCCATTTATTGCCCGCTTCAAAAGTGAAGTTAAGGCAATAATTGAAAAATAACCCATTAGGCGGCTGAATTCTTGAAAAAATACGTACATTAATGACCTTTCTAACCTCTTTCAATTGTGAGGACTGTAATGGATGGGGTGAAAAATTTGATTTCTGGCAGGTGTATGTGACTCCACAGATTTTATAGGAAGTCCAAAAGCTGATAATAGTAACGGTTGATAGATAATGGCTGATAATAACAGTTAGTTGTAAGGACCCTGCGCGAGGTCACAGCGCTAGTAAGTGCTCCTGGATTTTTATATTTGCTCTTACAGGAGCCCAGGATTTGATAAAATTCGTCCCTGGGTTACCTACAAGCTATTCAATGGGGGTCAGTGCAGCGCTCTGGTGGCTTAGATTAGAATTCGAAATGGTGGGCCGATTTGCCGTTGGGTCTCTAGTACTACTAAAAAAATGGTAATGCATCTTGCCTCCAGGACTTTGGAAGTTATGAGACAGCTCATAGAATACGTACAGCTCTAGGGTGGGAGGGGGGGACTGAGGAAAGCATTTAGTATGCAATTTTGTTTTTACGTTTGAAAGGATAAGACCTATGTCACAATAGCAAGACAAGGGGGGTTGAAAAATCCGAGATGAAGCCTTGCATATTTTATGAATGGCCCCTAAGATCTTTCATCACTTAAATTTTTCTTTGGATGATTGGAAACATTTATGTGTTAAAGTTCTGAGGTTAAAAAAGGATACAAGATAAATGCTGCATAATTTCTGGAGGTAGGCTTATTTTATTTGTTGTTTTCACCAGCTTTGCTTTAAAAAGAGGTTTGGGGTAATCACTTTCCTTCAAGCCACTGACAGTTATCCTTCCTGTAACAAAAAAGCACCATATGAGTATAAGGTAACCGTGAAACGATATTTTGAAGGCAAATATTCAAAATCATTGAATTCACTGAGTGGTAATACGTCTTGCTGCTTTAGTCGTATTTAGTTCGGAGGCAACACTCGCAACATGTTGTGAAAACGAGCAACAATCGCATTTTGTTAAAAGTTGTTTTGTGTTGTGGGGGCAGGGCTTATTTTCGTGCGCAAAATTTGGGAACCCCTACAGCAACATTGTTGCACAACAACTGCAACATGCTCGGAGCAGGTTGCTTTTATGTTGTTCAAGAGAGCAACGCTGATTTCTAACCTAAAATTGGAAGTTGCTCTCTCATTGGTTGTTCAGAATCACGCAAAAAGAAACAAGAAAAAAACGGAAACATTTTGTTGTTTCGAACAGAACACGACTTTTCATGAAAGCAATGGTATTCATTTTTGATCACATTAATGATGACTACAGGGTTAGAAAGAAGGCTTTATATCAGATGCAAGCAAAGAATGATGCCTTGCAAAACAGGGTTGTAGAAAGTTGTCAGCCACCTTGATTTAGAATACAGTCCTGTCTGCACAAAAAGATAATAACCACGGGAACAGAGAATGCCTGATCTTGCGATCCTTGTACAGCGGCAAATGTAGGGTAAATCTTGGGTGGTGAGGCAATTATCAAAAGTGATGACCCTTCTCTTCTTTTTCAGCTTAGCACTCTAAGAAAGTGGAACAAATCGCACATTTGAAATAAAGCTAGCATTTTACCACCGATCATATGTTAAGCCATGAAGCAAATCAAAATCATGTCGTGAGGCAATAACGCTAGATGGCAAAGAAAGGTCAGTCTTTAGGAACTTTCTGCACCCCTGGTGAGAACTACCTGTTGCCTCAAATTAAATTACATTTACAAGCACGGCAGAGGATTTAGTTTGAATTCTGGTTTAGTTTAGTTTAGATTCTGGTAAAACTTAAGGAAGGTAAGTTGGCAGTTATTTACTTCTAATTTATATGTTTGGTCAACTGGTTAGCATCTTCTGCGAAGAATGGTAGGTGATGTTGGCCGCTTTGACTGGGGATGCTTCCTGACCAACGGACCAGTGCACTTGAGCTGATGGGCTTGCCACCTGAAGAGGAAACTGTGCGCTGACTGCCCTAACTATAAGTGTTCTGCTGACTTCGGCAGATCCAATTCAGTAGCTCAATATGCACCATTAACTGCACAACCAAGTCAAAAGCTACTCACAAAAACATCTCTCTGCTGCGTTGGTTGGTTGAGCTCTAAAATTGATTAACTGTACATTACAGTCAGAAGAAAACAATTGTGAACTTACCTGGTTTGAGTTGAGAGTATTATTGCAAGTTATGGGTATAATTACAGATAGTTAGGGTAAGTAGATGTGATAAATCATGACTTACTTTCGACTTCATTTCTATCTTCCCTTTCTACGATCAATGGAGAGTTGCTGTCGGAGTTGATCATTTCATCTATCTTGTTGCTCCCGAACTCGAGGCTTTCAGAGGTTGGCCCCATATCTGTGTTTTCTGCATTAGCAGTGATGTTGTACGGTCGAACCATGTTGAAGTTGATTTAGTAATGTATGCCTAAGCTAGATTTACCTGATAGAACATATAAGTGTATTTAGACATGACGTTAATAATGGATGAAATAAACTTCGTTGGTAACATGCATGAGGTCTCAGCGAATTAATTTGACAGATATTCGACGAAGTAGATTCAGTTCTCTCAAGGAAACATGACATTATTGACTTTACTTTTAGGATGAGCACAGAAGGCAAAAATACTCCTCTGAGGATTTCCTAATACCTGGAAAATATTTGATGAAAATCTGTGAGAGCCTAATACATAGTAATATTAGGAAGGTTGCATCTCAATTCTAGGATGCCAATTCACTAAATTTTGGGACCTAAAACAATGCTGTGAAAAGCACGTCAACTTCTTCAAAATCGCACAGGCATCAATTTTTTAACAATAGTTTAAACCCACTTCAGACCCTTGCAGTTACAGAAAGGAAACAAATTGTATTCGACGGAACAAGTTTCCTGACCAAAGCAATGATTGAATTTTTCAGGGAGAGAGCGTTGAATTCTTGGATCTCCATGCATTCCGAACTGGTAAAGAAGAGAATTTCTAGTAATATGTTCCGTAGATACAAACAACCTATTGCCGGATCACGGCTATTGAAGATTCAAAGGCGATGATGATCAAGTACGATAACTTTCAATTCAGAAGGAGGCATGAATATAAAGAGGCAAAAACGAACGAATAAAATGTATACTCACGAAGAAACAGATGGTTAAAATTAGTACAGCATGTGCATATTTAAGTACAGGGAAATTAATTTTGAACTAAGAGCAACCAAAACGACTCAATGATTAGAAAAATAACTAGCTAGCGAGCTTATTAGCTTATTCTATGTCGTACTGCAAACTGCAATCTGCTTTATGACTACGAGCAAGCAAAATTTTAAGGTTATGTTTAACCGACGACGACTGCCGACAAATTGTTTCCCGCGAAGAAACGTCGGTGGTCGGTGCGTTGCCTGATTTTTCCGAGAAAAAACAGGTTTTTCTCAGTTTTTCTGGTTTACTTTTGGTTGGTTCGCCGTAATCAATACCGGAACCAGAACCAAAACCTACGCCCGAGACGTCTTGGTCTTTATATTTAAAAATAAGCCTTGTCTAAGGGAATTTCAATCTTCCTCTCCTCCCCTCCGTGGTAGATAAGCTTCAAGGGGGCAATCCCTGCAGGGCCGGAGGGGAATTCGTGTCCTACTAATCACAATGCCTGCTAGTGCTAAAGTTTTCAAAACAGGGATTGAACAGAACATATCTGTGTAAAAATGGGTCATGTCCCGGCTTTTCCGATGAAAATAATTCCATGCTCTTTTGCGGCCAGAAATCCAATGGGAAAATTCATGTGGAATAAACCAAATAGGTACCTATAAGTACTTAGGTATGTGCAAAACTCAAAATCTTTCCCTTGCTAATCTTAGCTTTTATACAGAATTACTCGCTGGATTCACTTACTTACAGCCTGGGTAGATTTTCTCACTCTGAAGAATAGGTAAGTGCAATACCTACTTCCTTTCTTACTTAAGTAAGTACTTGTACAGAGGATACACACAATCGTCAGGTACGTCTAAGTTAAAATTGTCATGGATCAATTGATCAATCTGTAAAATTCACACTTTAAATATACATCAAACCACGTTTCGCAGGGACTAGCCATCCTTAAAAACAAAAGGAGGTAACGCAATGGAAGGAACAAATAATGTTCTTTTCTTGCTGATAATGAGAATTATTACTTAGAACTCACTNGGGGGGGGGGGGGGGGGATGGGGGAAGGCATCAAGTAGGTACATACCTATATGAACAAATAAAATCTCTCTAAGAATTGCAAAAATCTTAAGTTGGTACATTGAATGTTTGAATGAATATTTCATTGAATGAGTATCTTGATTTTAAGATATTAAGACTTTAAATGTCTATCATGAGACTGTAGGTATTTCTTTAGACTCAATACAGACTTAAAAGCTAGGTAAAAGCTAGACTTTAAAGCTATAAAGCTAGGTAAAGAATGTTTTCCTGCATCACTTTTTTCATCATCATGATTATTTAGACTAAGTACATTTTGCAACTCGGAATTACAAATTCTGGCTCATTCGTGAACACACGCATAGGAAACTAATGGTATAGTATAATGTTGTTTCTAAACTGAGCCAGAAATTGTAGTTCCTAATTGTAAAATGCAGTCCTCTCATCACTTTCACATACAAAGGTATTTTTGAATCCCCTCCCCCCCCCCCCCCCCCCAATAACTTATTCAGCGGGTTGATTGTTGAATCGTTATCGAATGGACTTGATCGATAAATCCCTATCTTTACAATGCTATTTATCGATCAAGGTCATTCGATAACGATTCAACAATCGACCTGCTGTTTCTTCCTGCAAGAAGCTATGAAAACTAAAGTATATTAATTAAAAATGATATTAACTGTTCCCTTGGAAAACGAATGAACAGCATAGGGTATTAAGAAATGTAAAATCAAACTTGTTCTTTTTCTACTTGTGACTGATTAAAATCCTCAATGAATCCTCGTTTTTGCACTTTATGCGAACAAGAAGTAAGTAGAAATGAATTGGCAAAAATGGAAATTAATGCCCCATTCACCAAGTGCATTTTGATAAGGAAATATGACCTGTCGTCGGCCATCTTTAAATATTTGAATTTGCCTTTTTCTATTTGCTTGCACAGATATCACAACTGCTATCTGAGTAAAAATACCAGACCACATGTCTCGTACTTACCTGGTGTTTAAAAATCTCTGCTTACATTATATTTATTAGAGGGAGAACGAATCAATATCATTTCTTGAAATTTTGACAGATAGACTTCTTCGTACTTAAAGGGAAAATAAAATCTTGTAAGTTTTCAAGAATTGATGTTGAGTAGTTTGCAATTTAAAAAATAAAGTATACCTAATAGGTAGTCTCCATCATCGCAAACCGATATACTTAGTCTGGTAGTTTCAATGTCGATATGAGTGCCCATAAGAAAACGTTAAAATTTTCTGAAACAATTCATGGTCAATTACAAGAGAGGAGGATGTGATTGGAGAAGGCTGTTAAAATTTTGAAAAAAATAGCTTTCAAGACAATTTTATGGCTTGGCAAGGCATACCGCATAAGTAATGTTTCTCAGCTAATGTGGCCGTTCGATAATTTGAAGCTTGCTAATTAAAATAGTTTGATAATTCAAGGGGAAGGCCAATCCCTTTGAAAACATAGCTTTTTTTAAAAAAATAATTTGTTTTAATTTCTGGCAGCTTTGTTATTTGAAATGATTGGGTCTGACACTCTGCGATTTGAAATTCTGCACTTGACTGTTTTGATATAATTTAACCCAAAGCTCAAGAATGTGTGATTGAATCCTTGTTTCACCATGGTGGGCCACCAAAAATTAGCAGTTCAATTAATTTTTAGTAGCGTGATTGAATACTGTGGTGGTATATTCAAGATGGGTAAGGATTGCAAGTTGAGTTTTCAACCAAAAACAAATTCTCAAGTTCAAGTTCAATTCAAGAACATTGTAATACAATGTCTAAAAGGTAGTAGCACTGAATATATTGGTATTTGGAATGTAGTCAAGTGCTAGAAATTACCACTGAAATCTATTACCTTGTTAGAAATTAAATTATGGCCTTTGTGATATCTATTTTGTGACCCTGACGATGCAGCGCTTGCTTCGAAAAGCTTCGGTCAAAGTTTCTTAATAAAATGTAAGTTTTCGTTAAAAAAATTTTACATTATTTCAAAAATTGGCTACACTCCAAATACCAACAAAGTCTCGATGCAGTGGACGAGGACCAAAAAAATTGATACTGTGACAAACTTTAACATCATCCCTTCTACTTGCTCAATAATTAGGTATTGAAGACGAAGAGAAGATTAGAAAAAGTTTTTTTTTGGCCTGACTAAAAATTGTATTGCTTTTCCTACCCTTACTCCAGTGGGTGGTGGGTGCTGGTTCCTGCCTCTCATCCACAATCATCGTAGTCGTCATTTGTTGTACTCATTTTCTATCATCTTTATTCATCCTAAACATCAATACTTTAAAATTTCCTGCCATGGCTCTCTGTAATTTCATATCTAGCTGGTTTGAAAAGCTCTTTTTTTCTTTCCTTTTTTTTTAAAAAAAAAAAACACTTGATTGGCCTTCAACTTCAGATTATCAAGCTCCCACTGCACCAGTACATAGCAAAATCTGCAATAAAATGAATAGGTTTTTACTCCAAATATAACTTGCAATTTCATTTAGAAAGTAACTCGACGGTGTAAGTCGGCGATCACTAAACTTGGTTTGCGGTGTCTGAAAATCTCCGCCTCTATGTTATTTTTTACAGGAGAACACATTGACACCATTCCTTGAAGCTTTTGCAGAGTTTTCTTCACACAGAGAAGAAAAATCACAGCAGTTTCAAAAAATTGCCCTTGAGAAGTTTTCCGTTAAAAAATAAAGTGAGACAGGAAGTCTGCAACGTCACAAACTGAGTTAAGTGATCGCCCACTTACACCATCACACCATTGAAAATCCAGAGGAGTTGGTAAGTTAAACTTGAATAATGAACACGGCAGCTTTTAAATAACAATCAATATTTATTCATCAGAGCACAAAATCGACATTACACATGTAATCTTTAGTTCAACGCTCAAATTATTTCATTCAATTTTCAGCATGGCATGAGACAATATCTAATCAAACATTTTCTTTTGTTTCTGTTTGCTGATTAAAATTATAAAATACTACTGGCTCTACAAATCAGACCCTGACTAACAATTCAATCCGATAAGTAGTACGGAATAGAACATACCTTGGATAAAATTTGAGAGACAGACAGGATGTTCCTGAATTAGTGTGTGTGCCATGTATCGAAAACTGGTTTGCCTTTAGGCAGTTCGATTTTCTTTTCAGCCACTTCCTCCGCTTTGTACCAATTGCGTGGGTATTCAGGAATCACAGAGTAATCCATCTCTTTCAGAGAAGTCATCGTTTGAACTCTGTAGTTAATTGGTACATAACCTCCAAGATGGGAATAACCTTGACTCACATTATACTTAAAGGCAGTAGCAACAAGAAAAAGGAGAAATCCCCAATTTAGCCCGGTACCAGTACACTTGTACCAAAACCCCATGTAGGTGCCGCTAAGAGCTCCAGCAATTGAGTAATTGAGTATATCATCTTTTTCTCGAAATTTAACCAGAAAGTGGGTAGTAATGGCAAAAGTACAAGGAATAGCCATCCAAGGTTTTGTGAATTCGAGAATTCTTAAAGCATGCCGAGCAGGGCCTTTCACTGGATTGAGGGGGTCAAAACACATCAAAGCACCGTGAACAACTCCGGCTTTTCCAAAAGTGGTTGTCAAGAACCACAATTTCTTCACTAAATCTTGGCCATCAGGAGTATCATAGTAATAGTAGCTCCGAGGAATGAAGAAATCCCAATGCCAGGTTTCCCTTAGTTCGATAGGACTTTCTCGTACCATTGTGATTGAAGAGTCTCCGGGTCAAGAACACAGTTGAGAGCACTAATTTGAACAGTCCTGAGATAAATGGAGTATCAAATTACAGGACGACAAAGCTTCACATAATGGTAACTAATTCGCGATCAAAATTGAGGTGGAATAATAGGATTTCAGCAGACTGCAGTTGTCTCTGGCAGAAATGACAAAAAGAACATAACCTAAAATCTAAATTTTTTGATATTGTTGTGACCTCAACACTAAGCGGTGTTGCCTTGCCGGCGATATCACTGCGATGAGAAAATTGATGATAAATCGCGAATGAAGATGTTGCATGTGTGAGGAATTTGCAATTTGACTATTGATTCTTGTGTAGAAGTTCGCGAGAAACACGATGGTGCCACTGGTTTTCTCTGGAATCAACTCCCTAGCTCATAAAAAGCTCTCCAGTTGAGGCCAAAATAAAGGAGATATCCCCCGCTACCCTGAGAGTCCACATCTACATTACGACAAACTCTCCATGCAAAGATAGGGAGCAAATACATCAGCAGGGTTGCCGTGTTTTCAGTTTTAGAGTCCCCAAATAAAGTGGCGGCCCTGTCAATGTATTTGCTCCCTATCTTTGCGTGTAGGCGTGCTTGTAATATTTCTTGAGAGCGATGAATTTTAAAAGCTTCATTTTCAGACCATTAAAAATGGCGTAAAATGAAGAAAAATAAGTGGTTTTCATGTCTTCTTTAATCATCTTAAAGGAAAATAATCCACATAGAGTAGCAAGAACTTCAAAATGATGAGTTGAAAAAACGCTAACTCCGCGAGTATGAACGATCGCGATGAACACAGTGCAAAACGCCGAAAAACGCATATTAGCGCCTACATTACTGATGGTATACTTCACGCATTGCGCGTTCACCGGGGTGCGTACTGTAAACGTTGATAGGTACTTGGGAATTTTCCGGTATCAGCACCACCGGTCCCTAACTTCTTTCTGCGCTGGAAGGTATGGGTGGGTGGTACCTAATGGTTCAAGAAAACATGTTTGGTGAAGCGGGAAGAACGTTTGCGGCGCTGAAAATGAAGGAAGATGCTGCGAGAAGAAAACTACAGTCCAGTCATCCTGTGATGAAGACTAGTAAATGGTAGTAATCTTGGTAAAATTCTGTATTAAAATAATGAGTCCGTGCAAATCTTTAAGGTGATTAGTCAAGCTCAAAAGAAGTGGTCGAACTGGCATGCGATATATCGCATCTTTTGGGTCAAAAATCTCGGCTTGATTTTGAATTTTTGGCAAAAGGAATAAGGACGATAGCTCTTGCGCATGAGCCTGAAGAATCAATCTAAACCCAAAAGTTGGCAAGATTCAGAGGAATGAAAGCAGAAAAGTGTTTGACACAAAACCTCGCATTCGATTCAGCTATCGATTTCTGTATCGAATGCAAGGTTTTTTTTCCAAACATTGTTCTGCTTTCATTTCTCTGAATTTAGCCGATTTTTGGGTTCAGAATGATTTTTCAGGCTTGTGCGCAGGGGCTATCATCCTTTCTTTTGCCAAATATTCAAAATCTGCCGAGAATTTGGACTTAATCGATGCGATATATCGCATGCCAGTTCGACTACGTCACTTGAGCTTGACGAATCACTTTATATCTTCGTTTACTTTTCGAAAACTGGTGCTGAAAATCCTGGAGGGGTTACCTCGACTTGTTATTAAAACTTTGTAACATGGTCAAAAATTGACTTAGAGCGTTCGGGTTTGTCTTGGTTTATTTGTCATTGCTAACAATTTAGGTAACGCTTCTCAAACCGAATTTTGATATCTGCTACCGTTCGTCTCCAAAAAAGAAAAAAAAACCCTGCAGTACTTTTGGGACACCCCATGTATTGAGGCACCGGTTTCCTAAGATAAAAATCAGATTTTTCTGCGTGCAACGGTGTGTGCCCTGCATCAACCAGTCAGTCGATGGCTCTCTTAACTTTTTTTCTAGCTTATATCTTCTCCCCAAAAAATTCACTCATTTTTTTTGTTCGACGTTTTAGTCTTTCGATTCACGTAATATTATTTTTATTTTTCTTTCTTTTTCAGAACCGCCTGCTTGGAGCTGCCCTCTGCTGATCGGTATGTAACTTCATTTTTATCGTAGCTAAGCTCGCAAAGGGTTAAAAGTGCCAAAGTAAGGTATTATTGGTGTGGGCATAGAAGATTTGGACGTATTTCTATCAAACGGAACTATGTGCATTATGACGTGAGCCCTGTTATGAACATATTCTTATGGGTCCCAGGGCTCATGTATTAATGCACATAGTTTCGTTTGATAGAAATACGTCCATTTGATGGCGAGGGTAACTGACGGAGAGAGGGTTTTCTGCTGTACTTTGCTTGAAAAATTCAACGGTCACAAAATCAAAAGAATTGATTTAAAGAAATGGACGCAGAATAGAGATCTTGTAATGACCTTTTTTCATCCATAGGATAGTTATTCTTGTTTTTTTTTTGTTGAAAATTAGAAGAGAGTCATAAATAATGACGCGTCGTCTAAGTGTCGCAGAGATTTTAGCGTTCGTCCCGCCAGCGAGGCTCGGCAGGCCGGTCTATGCTTCACTTTCATTCAATTTTTTTTGGAAGATATGCACAGATTATCTGAAAAAATATACAATAATTTTATGAACGATTTCAATTGAAATCACGGGAAATTTCGTCGCGACATTACATTTAGTCCTATTTTCCTTTTTTTTCTTTTTACCGAAAAAAACCATGGTCCGAGATTCTAAATCGTAGCTATCAGGATAGTTATTATTGTTTTTTTTCGGTGAAAAATAGAAGAGAATAATAAATAATAACGCGTCGTCTAAGTGTCGTAGAGAGTTTAGCGTTCGTCCCGCCAGCGAGGCTCGCACGGTGGGCCAGATCGTGTCCGTAGCGGCGCTTAATTGATAACTCCCGCTAGATCAAGCATATCGTTCAAAACATGATGATTCCTAGGGTAATTTGATTCCCTCTTTCCAAATTTTGTATCAAAAAAACCGGCAAAAATGTCTAAATGTAGGTTTTGGAGTCGAAAGCTGAAGAAATTGCTCGATAAAAAAGAGGATCTTGTGCTCTTATAAAATGGGGGAAAAACACAATCATCGAACCGGAAAATGCAATCTTATCATCTAACCTTGTAATTCTATTGGAAGGAGAATATTTTTGGTTTTGCAGATCCGAAAAATATTGATTTTTAGCTGCAGGGCATGAGATCAAAGTTGCCCGAAAAATAAGCCTTAAAAAATTAATTTTTCAAAATATTGTCGACTGGGAAAGTGTCATTGCGGTTCGTTGCGCGGTTCTCTCTGGTATTTTTAGAAAGCACATATCCTAGAGATACCATATACCAAAGCACAAACGGTACAAACCGGTACAACCATATTTGTCGGATGCTTATTTGAGGCGACCTCCAATTTCCGCGAAAATCAGATGTAGAGGTTTTAAGGAACTAAGTTACACAATAAAGCGGCCAATGAAATATTTCAACACAAATTCATGTTTTAAGGGTTTTTAAGGTTTCTAATAGCATTTCTCGCTCTTTCGATACTTTAGGGTGGATGGAGGGGGAGGGGGAGGCCGACCAAAATCAGACAGTCAAAAATTTTTTATGGTTAACAATTTTCTTGAGCTTAGTAAATAATTTTAGTAATAATTTTTTTACATCCATTCACGCATTCAGCCCAAATAGGACTGGTTTTAAACCAATTTGGCAATGAATAGGAAAATTCTACAGTCACATGGCACCTAAGTTTAGAGTGAGTTGACCGTCGCTGACACCAGTATAACTGCTGAAATTTCAACTTCTCTGTTGAACTGTACTTTATGCAATCTTGCGTGCTTGAGGATGATATCTTCAAGGGAGAGGAGGATTCTATATCGAATTCTCTTAATTCGATCAAACATTAATATTGGTATGAAAATAACGCAATAACAAGAACCGACTCGTACACAGCTCAGGATACCGTTACTTACCTAAAATAACACATTATTTACACGATGACAATAGCTTTTAGGAGGGGTGTAACACTAAAATAGGCATAGTTGTATTTAAAGAAGTCAATATTTATAGTTATCTGAGTGACTTCAATCATACGATATTACATTACTTTCAGTCTAACAATGAAATTGAAATTTCATCAGTTATATTGGTGTGAGCGACGGTCAACTCACTCTAAACTTAGGTGCCATGTGACTGTAGAATTTTCCTATTCATTGCCAAATTGGTTTAAAACCAGTCCTATTTGGGCTGAATGCGTGAACGGATGTAAAAAAATTACCATTATTTACTGAGCTCAAGAAAATTGTTAACCATGAAAAATGTTTGACTGTCTGATTTTGGTCGGCCTCCCCCTCCCCCTCCTTCCACCCTAAAGTATCGAAAGAGCGAGAAATGCTATTAAAAACCTTAAAAACCCTTAAAAAATGAATTTGTGTTGAAATATTTCATTGGCCGCTTTACTGTGTAACGTAGTTCCTTAAAACCTCTACATCTGATTTTCGCGGAAATTGGAGGTCGCCTCAAATAAGCATCCGACAAATATGGTTGTACCGGTTTGTACCGTTTGTGCTTTGGTATATGGTATCTCTAGGATATGTGCTTTTTAAAAATACCAGAGAGAACCGCGCAACGAACCGCAATGACACTTTCCCAGTCTACAATATTCTGAAAAATTAATTTTTTAAGGCTTATTTTTCGGGCAACTTTGATCTCATGCCCTGCAGCTAAAAATCTATATTTTTCGGATCTGCAAAAGCGAAAATACTCGTCATGCAATGGAGTTTACCAGTCAGATGCATATAATGGTTTGAGGTTCACGAGTGCTCTGTGAAATAAGCGAGTATACAACGCGCGCCTCAGGTTGCAGAAATCTGGGTTCATCACATTCCACATGCTGCATATTTATCTACGTGGAAACCGCAGATATAATGAATATTTTAGATATTCCCATGTAATTTCGTTATCAGTAGGTATCTGAGCATCGATTAAGATAGCTCTGATGTGGAAAAAAAAAATGTCGAAAAATTGCATTTCGCGCCGCTACGGACACGATCTGGCCCACAGTGGCTCGGCAGGGCGGTCAAGACATCTTCGCAGTTTGACGCGCCTTCAATCCGGCGGAGCTGCAACATGCTTACACCCGTGGTGAAATAGTTGTATGTCACGCCTGTCGTAAACGAACTCAATTATCGATGGTTCCACCCGAAAAGGAGCTTATTTACCTCGATTGCAACGTTGCAAACCACGGTTAATGCTTCACTTTCATGCAATTTTTTCTTCGAAAGATATGCACAGATTATCTGAAAAATATACAATAATTTTATGAACGATTTCAATTGAAATCACGGGAAATTTCGTCGCGACATTACATTTAGTCCTATTTTCCTTTTTTTCTTTTTACCGAAAAAAACCATGGTCCGAGATTCTATAACGTAGGTATTAGGGTAGTTATGTTTGCCCATTTTACAATGAAAATTAGAAGACAGTCATAGATAATGACGCGTCGTCAAAGTGTCGCAGAGAGTTTAGCGTTCGTCCCGCCAGCGAGGCTCGGCAGGGCGGTCAAGACATCTTCGCAGTTTGACGCGCCTTCAATCCGGCGGAGCTGCAACATGCTTACACCCGTGGTGAAATAGTTGTATGTCACGCCTGTCGTAAACGAACTCAATTATCGATGGTTCCACCCGAAAAGGAGCTTATTTACCTCGATTGCAACGTTGCAAACCACGGTTAATGCTTCACTTTCATGCAATTTTTTCTTCGAAAGATATGCACAGATTATCTGAAAAATATACAATAATTTTATGAACGATTTCAATTGAAATCACGGGAAATTTTGTCGCGACATTATATTTTGTCCTATTTTCCTTTTTTTCTTTTTACCGAAAAAAACTGCGGTCCCACATTCTAAATCCTAGCTATTATCGCACCTAGGTTCATATGCTGCCGGTTGCACCTCTATAAATTCGACTTATTTCAATCGTGTGAGGGAAGGAAAAAAAAATAATCTGCTTCCTATAAGCTTCCTTGACACTTGCAAACCCCTTTACTACCGTTCCATTTGCATCGTCGTCTATTCCTTCCTCTCATGACTTTTTCTCCTCCAAACGTAAAGAAGCGAATTATAAATAGTATCGGGAATTCAAGCATCTGAATCCTTGATCAGAATTTATTTTTCAAGATATTGCTCTATTCTATGGTACAAAAGCACGTCAACTTTGATTTCTGCATGACTGAATTCGGGAATGAAATCGGTAATTTGATGCCTGTATGGGAACAATCAAAGTTCTCTTGTACATTTTCAGCGTTCTGACGAAAGCTCCAAGATCTCCTAAATTTGCATATCTGGTAACGCTTAGTTCCAGCGTTCTACCGGGCCGATTTTCATGATTTTTGCGGCTATCGCTATCGACAGGCAATTATCTCTAGATGAGCCCGCTTTATTCAGATTTTCAAAATATGACCCAGGTTTTTTTACATTACGCGGTAAAGTTGCGAATTCTCCCATTTAAACAATGTAAATTTTTATTTTTTGTCATACATCGTTTGAGCGTTCTACTGGGCCGATTTCCATAATTTTTGCGGTTATTGACAAGTGATATTCCATAGATGAGCCTGCTGTAATTAGATTATGGAAATATGACCCAGATTTTTTTATATTTTTTTATAATTGAGTATACCTGGGAGCTTAAAAAGGGGGCAAAATTTGAAATTCCCGCCATTTTTCATTGGCGGGACTTTCAAATTTTGCGGAAAATTGAACTAAGCAGGAAATTGTGAGTCTTCGTCTGTTAGTAGGGTCTAGGGTAAGGTAAGTGTATCGAAATTGTGCTCCTTTACTACAGACTATCCAAAGGTAACGAAACGCTCCGTTCCATTCATTCCGTTTCGTTTCAGTCTTGGCCTGAAGTTGGAAATAAATGGCAGCTTTCTTGTTTGATTCGTATTGGTCCAATCGCTCCCGGGCAGAGGGAGATTGGACAAATGAGAGTCGGTTGTGAAAATGTTTTCATTTTTTTGGTCGTTCTTTTGTCGAAGCGGGCCTAAGAGAGGGCGAAGCGCCCTCTGGGGGTTGGGCCATGTAGTGGCCAGG